TAAACGCTTATTCTTACTGTCCTGAACTTTTAACATTTTTGATTCAATAATTACTGCTCTAGATATCTATTGAGCAATTTATTATTGACAAAATATCAAAAAATATTGTTATTATCATTATGTTATTATCTAATATATATGTGTGTGTGTGTGTGTGTGGGTTTGTGTAAAAGTTATATAAGTGCCTTTACCACTACACCACCACTCATCCTGCTTAACTCCAGTCACTCACCTCATTAACAATTCAAATATTTCTGGAAAAAGATAAATTTAATGAAGTACTCAAAGTAAAAATATTTAAAAATGCATTGTCAGTGGTCAGGAATTAAGGTAAGCATATGATTATTATTGTAAATGTATTGTAATGATTTTACTATAGAATTGCATTGAAAATCAGGATAAAAGGTACTTTCAGTGGCCAGATGTTAGGGAGGGAGGGAGGGAGGGAGGGGTATATATAAGGAAAAGGTTATAATTGTTCCAATGAGAGAAAAATGTATATTTAAAAAAAAGAAACTGCACACGTTTTTGGTTATAATGTGGATTTGTTTTAGTGTATATATTATAGTCTTCATATTTTTGCTACATGTGTTTCCAGTCTCATGACCTTCTTCAGGCAATTAAAAGGAATCAATTTTTAAAGGAATAAATTTTCCTTATGTTCTTTTAATGGTTCCTTTTCTGTATTTGCAGTGAGCCTTGATGTCATTTTTGAACTGTTGGCAAAAGTGAATTTCTGCCTTAGTAGAAATAAAATCAATAGGTTTGGTCTTAGTGGTGGTGGTGATGATAGATGTGTTGATGAGAGATGTTTTCCTATCCTTACATTACCCTTGAGACTGTCAAATCTATTTTACATTTTTGTGTATCGTGTGTTCATGCATGTCCTCATTAGCTTACACATGAATCAGCATACACATGTGTGTGTGTGTGTGCGTGTATATATATATATATATATATATATAAAAGATAGCCTGAAGCCAAAAATGCTGTCAGTCAGTGGGATAATGAGAGAAAAGACATTTAAGTCAAGCAGTTTGGGCTATAAAGTGCTCAATAGCAAAGATAGATCATTAACAGAATCAATACAAGTGAAAGTTTTGTCACTTAGATGATTGATATTACCTTCAGCATCCCAACTCCAGAGTTTTGGAGAGTCACACCTACCTGTCCACTCATCAGGGGTTATCAGCAATTGACTGGTTATACTTCAATTTTTATTTTTTATATGCGAGAAATATAAGCAGTCAATTACTGATAACCTCCTGATGAGTGGACAGGTAGGTAGGTGTGTGTGTGTGTGCGCGCGCATGTGTTTCATTTTCAAGAACTTTTCATCTAAGTAAATTATTTTCTCTTTTAATAAGGACAGCATTTTTTAGATTAATATTGTGGAAAGGAGAAAATAAGTTACTTAGATGAAAAGTTCTTGCAAGTGCAATTATTGATTCTTGCCAAAATGCTAACTTACACTCTGAATTTTTTTTTGTGTGTGTGAAAACCAAAGTTGAAACAATGCAACTATTATCATTTCTTTAAAGATATTCAATGAAGAACCATTATATTTTCATCAGTCATGATCATCATTTTATACAAATCTGTTCATTTTCCCTTAATACATGGAAAATCATTTTCTCATTTATGCCTTTAGGTGTGTTTCATTCTACGGCTCATTGGGTATCTGTGTGTCTGTATAGATGCACACATGTACACACACAAAACTTAGAATTAACATGAAATGACTGCTGCAGCCAATGCAGGATTTGAAACCCAATCTTCAACTCCAAGCTCTTATCTCGGAACCACCATACTTCCTTGCATCGACCAAGTTGACAAATCAAAGCCTAATGATTGATGTTATCCTCACTTTATTTCTATTTACTTTTATAAAAGATCAGAGAATGAAACAGAGAGAGTTTAGGATTCAGGGAATGAGGAAACAAATGACAGTTGTTAATGTTGCAGTTGGATCTGCTGTCACATTAGCTTGTCAACTACACACCCACACACAAAGTACTCAGCTCCTTCTGCCATGCTTTATAGGAGTCCAACCTTGACATAGTTCAAAATTATTTACATGGTCATTAAGGGAGGGGGTATGACATTTTTCACTCAGCAGCCTTTTTTCCATGAATGCAACATTGCAGGTCTAACAATACTATATCGCTATTTCCCTGGCAAATGTTCAGATGAGCACTCCATTCTTTAATTCCATCAGTGAATACCTTTACAGCAAGGACACGCCATTTTACTTCCACATAGTCAAATCACACTTATTTCCTCCATACTTCAATTATAAGGAGAAAGTTCCACTCCGACAACTTTTTCTGTCAAGAACTGCTTCATTGTGGAATAGACTCTCACGTGAGTACTTTCCTGAACAATACACTCTTAGTTCTTCAAGTCAAAGGTCAGTCATTATCTTTTTTCCTTATCTTCATAATCTCGACTTCTTACCACATCCTTTTGCATTCATATCACACACCTTGTTCAGTAACCATTCTAGCTTGACTGACTCTCAAGTCATTTTGAATTTTAATGTAAAAAAAAAAATACCTATCTATATTTCTGAGTATAGCTATTCACACTGTTCAAACTGTTGTCCTTATCTTTATTGTCAAGTGAATATGAAAATAAAGATAAGGACAACAGTCCAAACAATGCAAAAAACAAAAAAAAACAACTAACCTATCTTATCATAATACTGTTGATTCACAGTTTATTGCAATCATTTAGCATATGTCTTTTATTTATTAATTCTATACACAAAAAATAAAGACCATGTGCATTAGAAAAAGGGTGAGTGTAAGAAGAATAGCTGCATGAAAACTGACAAGGCTTTTGGAAAATTACAAAACCATAATGGATAGAATATTTTCTGAAAGGAAATCACTTTTTATAAATTGTGCGCCAATTTTAATTTTTAAGACAAGAGCTTCCATTACTAAAGTTTGTTGTGCATATTAATAACTCTGCCAAAATTATCATTCCTTCCCAAGTGTATGTCTTTTATTGATTAATTCCATGTTAAAAAGACTAGCAACATGTGCATTAAACACCCTGTTTCTTTTGTTATAAAACTTCCTACCCTTCACACAAGCCAGCTATTTACCACTGGGTGGCATGCCACTAGCATTTATCACTGGTGGCCTGCTGTCAGACCGTGGGTGTGTTCGTCTCGGCAATGCTACCATTGGCAGACTGCTAGAGGCCAAGCTGTGACCCACCAGTAGTTGCTGCCAGAGAACCACTGGCATTGCTAGCGGCTTGCATGTAGGGCAGATATGTACATTATTGTGTACAATGCTTTAAGTTAGAAAAGGAAAGCCTCTTTCTGGGTTGACATAGGCTCGTTATAAAGCACTAATCTTTATCCAAGAAGCTTTAACAAATATAACCAATCTGCTTAAAACTTAGTGTGCCTCACTTACCTGAATTCAAGCAAATTGTTGAAGCAGGGAGAAATAAGGAAAAATGTCTGACAATTAAATCCTTTCTTCTGGCCCTGAAGCCAGCAAATCCCCAGAAGAATTTATAACCTAAAAGCTAGAAAACCATCTCCCCCTTCTAAAGAGCATCTCCTCTCTATTTGAGTAATTGAGAAATAGTCAGACAATTCCCTGATGTCTGTGGCTTGACTAAGATGCCAAGGTATTTTTTTTTTACAAAAACAAATAATCGACAATACATCCTGACAGACAAAAGGACAATTAAACAAACACACAAGAGCAGACAAAAATATTGACAGATACAAACAGACAAGGACATTTACAATGACATCTTTTTATTTGGCTAATAAATGAATATTGAATGATTTTTTATGCTTTACAAAAATTTTTCCATATTCAAGAAACAGAAACAAAATTCTGAGAATTGGAGTTTCATATATAAATAAATTTTTTTTAATCAATAAATCAAAAGTTTGATAACAGTTAAAAAATATTTTGAATAAAAAAATCACAAAAAGTTGGAATGTTAATATAAATGATACAAGGATTAACGTTTGTTCTGAAAAGCATTTTGGCATTTAAATCTACAATAATTGTTTATGTTTTTCTAATATACAATGCCCCCCCCCTCTATTCTCTACAAAATGTAAGCCCATTGTTTGTTAACAGCAGCTTTGATTATAATCTAAAACTTAAATATTAAAAAATTATTGTTATAATAAGCATCAACAAATAAATCTCTTGTTGTTATAAATGGATTTTCTTTAGTTGCAGTCTCTACATTTGTTGATGTTTGCAACTCAGTCTCTCAATAACACAAATTATGCTTTGCTTTGGAAAGAGAACATTTTGAACACTTAAAGTTTCAATGAAATAGAAACAAGGAATACTTTTCTTTTGAAACTTTATTCTAACATTTATTCTTTAATTCCTGATTAAATTTCTGGAATGAGGAGTTATCATTAGTGTTGTTATTTTCACTCGAACTAATGACCTAATCTTTGTTCTTATTGTTTTTCAACATTATGTCCTCTAATCTTTTTAAAAGTAATAAAAATAATTTATTCTTTATTATGGAAGTTTTTAATTTTCAGTTAAGAACCAAAGCCTATACATAATTTTGGAGCGACTTCATAGTAATAAATACAGAGTTCTGTATTACTTCAAGCATCATTCACAGATTATTAAAGCAAAATCCTAAGATATTATCACATCTGAATAAACTATTTTCTGCAGATTCTTTCAGTAAAAAAAAAAAAAAAAAAAAAAAAAAAAATGTATGGTAAAATATTCTTTAAAAAATTATAAGAGTCAAAAGTTTTTTTTTTCTTTCTTTCCAGAAATAAGAATCAACAAATCAATCTTTTCTGTTGAAACTGAGTTTTTCTTTTGTTCTTTAAGCTGCATCATGAAAAGAGTTAATCAACCTTGAAAAGATGAAAGGCAATGATTCGCCTGCTGATGGCAATTGAACTTGGCACCACAGGGATCCCTGCCTGAACTTCTTTTAAACTTGTCACGCCAACTGAAAGTGATTGAAGTTGTACTTACTTCCTTCACAAGTTGGAAACTCTGTTGACCACTTGCCATTCGTGCATTGAACTTTGGGAATGCCACTCAGGTCAAAACCTGGCTGACATCTGATTGCAATGATTGTGTTATGGGGAATAGATTGGTCATAAGCCACAATGTCTTCATGGTTGATACTGATGATTCCATTCACCACTTTTTTCAAGTTGCATTTGTCTGAGAGAAAAGAAAAAAGAATTCTGGGAATAAGAAACAGATTACAAAAATTTTTCTGTTTTCTTTTATATTAAAATGCTCTTATTAAAAAAAAAGGGTTATTTCTGAAAAGATAATGTAGTATTTGTGAAGAAAAACTTCAAAAATCAAATTAAGATTTTATAAAATGAATAACTTAAGCAGATTCAAATTATAGACACATTGATAGAACAGGTTCTATTATTTAATCAATTTTAAACAAAATAAAATGTCTTTTACTGAATATTAATAAAATACAATATTCTTTATGAACAGATACCAAATTAAAAAAGTTAATTAAATTGTTATTTGTGAAGAAAGACAAAAATCATACAGCATTTAAAACATCAAATTATTAAACTGCAAAAGTTTCAACTTTTAAGCATTTACAGTTATTAAGTTATAAGAAATGTTATATTCATCACTTTCAAATAGAATTTAACATATTTCTGCAAAATATTTGTGCACATTCTTGTGACTCGGCCCATACTTTTAGTATAAATAAAGAACAACACATCAAGTAGTGAGTCAAAGTAAAAAAGTTTTCACTTGTCTAGTCTATTTCCAGCAACAAAAATTGTCTTCCAAACAAGAAACTTGACTCACTTTGGCTGACTTTCCACTTAAAACTGAGTCCCTATTGAGTGACATGCCTATAACCCCTTCTTTGGTTTCTGCTATTATCACTAAACTAGATCCTCCTCAATGCATGTGGACTTGAGATCCATGCAATAATCCTTCAGAAATGTGTGCCTGAATTGGCTCCTGTTCTCTCTAAACTGTATAATAAGTGTCTTGCTGCTTCTTGCTTTCCTGCTTGTTGGAAATCCTCTTCTGGAGTTCCTGAATTCAGGTGAACCATCTGACCCTTCTAGAGATCATAATCAACTCTGAATTGGTTAAGCATCTCACCACACAAGGTTTTCTTTCAGATCAGCAATATGGCTTTTGCTTCTCTAGGTCAACTGCTGATGTTTTAATAGTTATCACTGCAAGAGTCTACCAAGCTTTAGATAAGAATGGTGAAATTTGGGCTGTTGCTTTGGATATATAGGAAAGTAGGTTCCCTGTGTTATGCTAGACAATATTTGATGTCAAAATCTATCTTACATATTTATATGTCTACCATTCGTCTTGGCTTTGAATATTGCTGCCACATCTGGTCTGGTGCTCCTGCTATATATTTAGAGATTCTTGATAAAATTCAAAGAAGAATCAGCAATGTTATTGGTCCTGACCTGGCATCTTGGATTTTCTCACTCCTCTTCCCATAAAGTTGCTTCCTATGTACCTTTTCTTTAAATACTTTCATGGTAATTTTTCTGATGAACTTTCCTCTATGATGACTAGACTTTATGAATTTAAACACAGTACTAGATTGGCAGATAGGTCTCATCATTTTACAATTGAAATGGCTAGATGTAACTGTAAGTTCTATGCTAACAGTTTTTTCTCTGACACTTCTCACTTGTGGAACTCTCTTCTGTCTTCTTGGTTTCCAGTCAACTTTGATCTTCAAAAGTTTAGATACACTGTCAATTGTTATCTACTCTCTTCCTAATTCTTGCTCTTTTAATGTTCTCTCTCCTTAGTAATGTTTTTTTCTTCTTTCTATTTTCTAATACTCAGTAACCCCTTGTGCCTTAGTGGCTTTATTACCTTATTTGGAGTGAAGCGATTTAAAAAAAAAAAAGTACAAAAAAACATTCTTTGTAAAATCACATCAACACTTCAAGAATATAATTTTCTTTTTTTATTTCACTTCATCTGCTTTTTTTCTTTTCCTTTTTTTATTTGTAGACATGTTGAATATTTTGACAATGATAAAAATCTCTACCTCCTTAATCTTATGCAACACTAATTTGTTAATTTACATTGCTAAAGAAAAAGAATATCTCAAAAGATAATTAACGGCACAAACTTTCATTAAAAATTGACATTTTATCCTTGATTGTACAAACTTGTAAAAAGACATAAAAAAAAAACTTTCAGATGCCTTATTTATTGAATCAGATGGTCATATTTATTGATAAGCCACAAAGAAAAAGATGCTAGAAAACCATGAAGATTAAAACTGGATTTCCTGCTATTAATAAAATAATTATTTGCAATTTATGGCACATAATTTATGGAAGTGGTAAATCTGTTACTGCTTTTAAAAATTGAGATTTCATATATAATTATTAAAATGATTTTTAAATTAAAAATTTTAAAAAGTTATTTTGATGAAAAGTCATTTTAATAAAATGTTTCAATAAAAAAAATCAGGGTACCCATATAATCAATTAAAGATGTGACTGATACAGCAATCTTTTTGTGCTTTTAGATAAAAGACGATGATTTCAATGTGTCAATCATCTTCAAAATCTATGTAACAGACTCTTCAATGTCCATGGAAAGCCATTGAGTGTATTGCGGCTGCCATTAGCCGCTCCTTAGAAAAACTACCTTGACCTTCACAACCCCTGATCTCGCAGATTTAAGTCAAGCAGCATGCGAAAAACTGGACAACTGGTCAATATGGTTGACTCCAAAACCGTACCTCATGAGCATCGGATTAGGCAGCACTTCCCAAACATCGAACATAGGGAAGTAATTTTATATCTATGGTTTTATACTCCTTTTAGCCAGGGAGTACTTGAACAAATCGTTTCATATATTGTTAGCTCCTTTTTCATTCAAATGCAGGCTGCTCGGCCCAGAGGCCTGGATCAAAGTGTAGTACACTACCTTTGTGAGCTTCTGGTGCTTCATCGAGAGAATACTCTTCGGCATGATCTTGTTTCCACGGTTGATCCATCCTGGAAGACGTATCGCCTCTCTGACTCCAGCTTCAAGTGTTACACTTTGGCACGATCCCGTCACTATGGTTGACCCGCCCTGGAAGTCGTATCACTATTCTGACTCGGCCCTGTTTAGGGACTATCACCTTCGTCAAGTGCTACACTTTGGCACGATCCTGCCTACATGGTTGATCCACCCTGGAAGTCGTATCACTGTACTGACTTGGCCCTGTTTAGGGACTCGTCCTAACCAATCCAACGAATCTTCATGTGACACTGATCAACTTGCTGCTGTTCCCAACAATTCTCCCATCCAGTAGTTGACCAGCTACCACTGCTGACCAGCTCTACATTCGTTTCGCTGATACAACCGAAATCAACTTTCCCTGAAGGAAACCAGTCATACCGGACTCGACACCGATACAAAAATATTCCTCCAGAGTACACTCTTGTACATTTTGAATAAATAAAATCAACTTTATCGTTTCTTAAACTTCTGCCTTTGTCCCCTCATTGTCTTAGCTGTTCACACCTTTCTTTGTAAAGCTTGCGGAGGCGACATCTTTATCGGACTCGCAACAAGTGTATCAGCTCCAATAGATTGTAACAGCATATCTCTCTTCTTACGCCCATGTTTTGAATAAAAGCTGGTGGTAGAATAAGATGGGAGGTTGGAATAAGCAGGCATGATGGAATAAGAAGGGGGTGGAATCTGAGGAGTGTGTAGAATCAGTCTAGAATTTAGTTTATTTGAATGAAGGCTATGCAAAAATGCAGAAAAATATTTAATGAGAGTTAAAAACAATTTTCTCCTATGACAAAATTTTTAACCGCAAATATAAATCTTATAAAATATGTTTCTAATGTGCATTTATTTTTTCTTTTCTTTGTGGATAGACATGTGTTGTTGTATGTAACCATAAACCGACTGCCACAAGGCATGAATAGCTTTGAAATTTCCCACTTGTCAAGCACTTGCCACATTGTGCCATGGAATATGGCATCCTTGTTTACTTCTTTGTTGGAAATTCCTCCAAGCACAAAAAAGTGTTTGGTTCTGCTAGGTTTGGTTCTTGCAAAATCTTGAATGGAATTTCTTCAGAAAAATCATAAGAGTCACCTCCAAATAATCTTTTCTCTAACATATCTTAAAATTATTTTTTAAATAATGAGAAATGACAAAAACATTATTTTGATTTATTATGATTTGAATGAATTTTTAGAATTGAATGAATTAGAAGTTTTAGAGGTAAATGTTTCACAATTCTAAATGATCATTTTCTTAGAATTGAAATTTTTTCTTGGAAGTTTTCATGAAAATAAATAAGGGTGGGATAAGAGTGGTGAGGGTTGAAATAAGAGTGATGAGAAGGTTGGAACATCTGATTGTTCCAACTCTGCACAAAGGTAACTTGAGCTTGACCATTAATACAATGCTGATACTTTCTTTCTCTAACTCCTGGACTAAAAAGAAAACAGACATATCCAAGAAACATTAAGAATTTTGTTTCACCAGAGTTTATATAAAAAAGAATAAATGGTCAGAAATAAATGGTAGAAACCCAAGTTTTTGTATGCTTCTTCTTAATTGTTTACATACACACATAAAATACAAACACACAACTTTTAAATTCCATAGATTATTCAAAATCATATCTTGACAGTTTTCTTTTCATTGGATTAAGGCTGATGTTTGGAGTAGGAATGTATTTATATATAAATAAACAATATGAAAAATGTCAAAGAAAATTTTAATACATTTTTTGTAATTTCAATTTATTGCAGGCACTGAATATTCCTACTTTTGTTCCCTGAATAAAAACATCAATCAATCTAGTCTTAAGAGTTAAGTTTCTTCTTTGGAAGACAGTTTTCATGCTACTAAAAATGACCTTACCAGTCAGTAAATTAGTTATTCTAGCAATTTTTCTTTAATTCTTGTAACAGTAATATGCATGAGCCATTCAGAGTTATTTACAATTAATGCATTCATTTCTTGAAATGAACCAAACTTGGAATTGCAACAGATTTTTGGTCTAATGATGAACATGAATGAATAATTCACAAGTTGACAATATTTCTGTTCACAGGAAATAATTCTTCTAAAACCAAATTGCAAATTTCTATAGCATTTTTTTTTCATTTGTAATGAAAATTGTTTTAAAAACGATCAGTTTTCAATGATTAAACTATTAAGTTTCTATTGCTATTTCAATGGCAAATGTTCATATGAGTGCTCCATTCTTTAGTTCTTCCAGTTCAGATCTTTACAGCTAGGACACTCCATGCCACTTTCATGGAGTTGAATCATCCTCATTCCCCCTGCATTCCAAATATAAGAGGAAGGCTTGTAGCTTTTACCCAAGAATTTGTTACTTTGTGAAACAGACTCCCATATGGGTGCTTTTCTAAACACAACAATATTAACCACTTCAAGGCAAGGGTCAATTGTTATATATTCTTCTTATCCTCATAATTTTACACTCAAATGACATACATCATTCATTTATCTACCTTGAATGGCTCTCAAGACTTGTATTGGCTGAACTTTAGTATTTAAAAAAACTTCAATTAGTTTAACAGATGTCATCCTGCTTTTGGGCCATCTATGTCTTTTTACAGGTGTAATTCTGTTGCCTTTTTTTCCCCTGATGGATATCCAAGTGAATTATCACAATACAAGTCTAATATTCCATTTAAATATTATAACAAACAGTAGCTAATGGATGTACAAATGTTCTAAAATACCTGGTTCACATATGGGGAATGTTGAACACCAAGATCCCTCGGAACATTTGATCTTCTTTGATCCAAGAAGAGTAAAACCAGGATCACAAGTGACTTGCAGGAACTTGCCGTGTTGCACAAAAGCAGAACTCTTGCTATCAGGATAGGCAAGATGGGCATTTTTAACCGGAACAACTGCACAACTTTCTAAAAGAAAGAAAAACTTTTTGTAATATACTGCAGGTTGATATCTGGAATCAACTAAATATCAGGATATGAAAAATGCAGAAACAATGCCTCCTGAAAATGATACAAATAAATATCGGAATATATGAAAAGCAAACTAAACTTTGTTTATCGATCTGTGATGAAATCTCAAATCACTTATCTGAAGCTAAACACATTGTTTTGTATGTTTCACATGCTGGTGGCCATTTGCATTATGAAAAGTGTGTAAGAATGAATGGACTCTTTATAATGCAAATGTCTAATGAATAATCGGTATTTAAGGAATCATGTGAAGTAGCAGTCAGACTAGTTGTTTGCAACTGTTAAGAAAACTGTAATCATTGGTAGACAGTGTATTGAAATAGTTCTTTTTGTTTTTTATATCCCTCTACACTGACAACAAGTCTCTCCCTGTGTCTGCTACACAAGACCAGCCACTCACTAGAACACAATTAAATATTGACAAATTGGTTTTTCAAAGTTATTTTCATCCTTTACATAATTTGATAATGTTCTGGTGTGAGAAGCACCAAAACACTCACAAGGCATCTTTTCGTCATAAAAAGACTGAAGTAGAGAAAGTTCTCATGCCAACACTGAATACAGGTTAGTCAATCTTAAGATGCAAAAAAAAGTGATCCCCAAATGCAAGACCAGCCCACCATACCAAGAGCTCTACAAAGAGAGTTCTCTCTTCTTCATAAAAGACCATCTCCAGGGAATCAGCTCTCCTGTAAACATTAAAAAATAATACAGGTGCAGCAGCAGACCTAAGTCAATAGTGCAGTAAATTGAATTATCAGTGGATGCTCTCACTGCATTATATTAAACAGAGCTATGGCTATTTACATATTTACATGTAAATTATTGCCCTAATCTTTGTTGCAATTACCCCAACGTTTTGTCTGTTGTATCCTCTGACCTAAATCAGGTGCTTCTTGGGTAACCTTCCAGGAATCTAGGGTTCCAACTGAACCATTTAATTAATCTACAGTTTGACTCACTATGCTTAGGTATATCTTGTCTAGTTCTTATTTAGTACTGCTCACTTTCCAAGGAGTCATTTTGCAGTACCCACCCAAGTGATTGAACTCACAATTACTATATCTCCAAACACTTTAATCTACTATGCTAGCATCTCACAAGATAATTCCTCATCCCAGAAATTCAAATTTTGCTTCATGAATGTTTTGAACTTTTTGCCATAAAGTAATATTTGGCAAGGTAGTTTGATAAGCCAGTGCTACTAGAGTGAGTTCAATGCTAAGTCACTGTATCACTTAAAGGGCCTTGTGCCTGACTGAGCTGACTTTCTTGATGGTTAAAGATAGTTGAATATTTCCAACTTGTGCTTGTGGTGATTGTTGAAACTTTTAAAACACCATGATTTTGAACAATGATTTTTCAACACAAGGACTTCATCATATTCTTATTCTTAGCTCTGTGTAACAATAAATTTGGTAAATATTACTTATATTTACTATATCAAAACTTTCTCGTTTTATGATTGACTATTTACAGGTTTATTTATCAAGATCACTTTCATCTTTTAAGTTCTGAAATTCATGGTGAAGGATTTATATTAAAATACAAGAAAAAAAAGACAATTTGATTTATTTTATAAAACAAGACAAAGAATAGCAGAAGAAAAAAATTCTTAGGATAAAATTACTCACTTGGTTTGCAGACAGGTAACTCTGTTGACCAATTGCCAAAAAGACATTTCAAATTGGTGGCTCCGACTAATTCATATCCAGTCTTGCAGAAGATGTTTATGTGTTGTTCATGAGGAATTATTTGTCCCCAGTCTGAGAGGACAACATTGGACCTCATTTGTTTTACATTACCATTCTCGACTAAAAGAACAGCACAACCACCTGAACAAATAAGAATTTTCATATTTAGCATAAAAAGACAAATTTAAAGACAAAATGAAGAAAAAGAACAAGAGCTTAACTAGGTTTCATTCCTTTCATTAGAGATTTATGAGGACTGAAAAAAGCCATAAATTGTTTTGGTATTCTTTCTTGCTTGATTTTAATGCCTGTTTTTATTGAAATTATATGAAAATTAAAAAAAGAAATCTATTTTAAAGTTTTTTTTCAAAAGCACATTTTTTGATTTTATCTTTTTTTTACTAACAAAAATATTTTATTACAAACCAAATCTTTTGACAAAGATGGCTGAAATGTTAAAATGGCTGAAATGTTAAAATATTCACTCTTTTAAAATATGAAAATGAATCAAGTTTATAAACTTGAATTTATAATCTTTTGATAAAAAAATGTTGAGTCTGTAAAATTTGTCTGCTCTGATATATAGAGATAGGTCACATGATATGTGGCCGTTTTTCATTGGTTAATTAAAGCATGTGGGTTTGAAAAAAGCTGACCACGAGGAGAAGAGATTTGGACCTGTTCTGAGGCAGCAAGCAAGGAATTGTCTCTGCTGCCACGATACCAGTTACCAAGTGTTTAAAGATGCAAGTTCTCTGGCCCTATTTCACTCCACCAGATGGGTAAGTCTGTCTGACATATTCTCTATCATGGTATTCATGTTTTTAATTGTAAATAAATGTGATTAAATGTTGAGAAAGTATTCATTCTTATTTGTCTTCGTCGCAAAATAACGTGGGACTAGCACAATAAAAATATCAGAGACAAATTTATTTAGTTTTGCATTTTAAATTTATATTGAACAAACAAAATAAAGAAGTAAAAAGAATAAACATCACAAATTATACAAATATTTTGGCTATTTTTTTTACATTTTTTATTTAGTACATCTACTCAAATATAATGCTTGAAGTAATAAAAATAGAATGTATATGGGGAGCAGTGTTATATGCAAACAAATATGGTAACTGTATTGTATTTAATACTGACTCTTGTTTAAAGGATCAGAATTTGCATATCATATATATATATATATATATATATGAATGAAGAAATATAGTCTTAAAATGTGCTATATTTATGGGATAAAGTGCTCAATATCAGAGATAGAGCATGTGTAAATATAAAAGTGAATATAGAAGTCAACACTTAGAGGCGACAGTCTGTTTCATACTAGATGCAATCGTCAGGGTGGCCTAACGATTGCATCTAGCATGAAACAGACTGTCGCCTCTAGGTGTTGACTTCTATGTTCACTTTTATATATATATATATTTTTTTTTTTTTTTTTGAGTGGTTCCTTGCATTGGTTGGTTTCTCTCTCTCTCTCTCTCTCTCTCTCTCTCTCTCTCTCTGGTTCTAATCTAACCATGGTTGATTTGTCAGGAAGGAGACTTCCTGATATTATCAGACTGGAGGAGTCAATTCCAGTGTGTGGCACCTTTGGAAAATACCTGAAAACCATACCACAGATTGACCCAAGCCTTGTGAGTGAAATTGGGCAGACAGAACCTTGCTAGCACAGTCACAAGTTATCATGGTTGAGGGCTTGAGCCTTGTTCAAAATGTTGATCACATTAGATAACACACTCTTTCCCAGAAACTGTAACTAAGGTCTGCTCAGCATAGTTGCAGTATAAACCACAGGTGGGCTCTGTCAGTGTTGCATAAACACAAATGCGCCTGAGCAAGCGTCTGCATTAGGGATTGGCCAGCTATATATACATCTTCGTGAAAGCTGTCATGTAAATGCTCTTGATACATATATACATTCTCTCTCTCTCTCTATATATATATATATATATATATATATATATATATATATATAATTTATTTAAAATATGATTCCAAATCGCTTCACATAAAAAGTCCCATGTTATATATATATATATATATATATATATATATATTTGTCTACTTCTCTCTTTTCATTAGTGTAGACTCCCCACCCAAAATTTTTTTTAAATTATGTTAATTCTTTTTTATCTTTTCATTTTTTTTTTAATGTCTGGTTCATTATCAGGTTGCCTGGTTGAATTTGTATCATTTCATAAAATGTAGTCTGTTTGATGAGGCAGGTATATATATTTATACCTGTTGAAATAAATTTATAACTGACAATAGATTTTTTAAGGTTTTTTTCCTAATTATTCATATATATATATATATATATATATATATATATATATATATATATATATATAGATAGAGAGAGAGAGAGAGATGGGGGTCAGGTTGGGTGGGGTGGGTTGGTTGGTTGGTCAGTTGTTTTTCTTCTTGGCTAAAGTGCAGCCTAAACAGGATGCCATCTTTTGTGATATGCTCTTTCTAGTTAATCAACTTCTGAGAAGATAACTTTTGATGCTAATCTATATAAAGATCTAAATGTTGACACACACAAATGATCCATTTTACTATAAGCAGATCCACTTGGTGATGGGACTGTTTTTGAAATATCAGAAATATATGTCGGAATTATCAGTTTTGTAAAAGAATTTTGAATGCTGATACTGAAAGCAGACATGTCTTCCCAAAATGGAACATTGGCATAGGACAATTTTCCAAATACTTCTTATTTCATTTTATTTTAATCTTGAATCAGAGATAAACCTCAAATGCATTTATTTATTTTTTTTTACAGCTTTTTACTCTAAAGCTAATTTCATCTACACATCTAAAAACTCCACGATATTATATATCATTATCCAACTCTACCTTTTCTTCCAAATATTATAATGGCAGGGATATGTGTTGAGCTTTAGGCAATTTTGATGAATTATTTTAAACTGGGACTTAAAAATCATCAATACTGTTTGCAGAATAGAGAAGTGAAGTGAAATGAAACTATATTGCCCAAAACTGCTTTAAATATTTTAGAAATGGTGATTTGTCTCTTGGAATTGAATTATCATCACTTGCCAATTATAATGCTTTAAGACACAATGTAGTGGAAAAGCCAACCTGCAGCTTTTGAAAACTTTCAGAAAAGCTCAGTTCATTAAAGGGTTACCATATGTGGAGCATTACATAAGATTAGAAAAATATACAGGATCTCAGAAAAGGGTTTCCGTGATTAAAAAAAGCAAAAATACTTTTGATACACTCTTATAAATATAATCTAAAGCAAAGATCTGAAACTCAATCTCATGTGATTGGTGGGCTGCATATTTGAGATGCCTGATTTATAGTCTTTTAATATTCAGATCCAACTATAAACATTAAAACTGAAGAGAATATCTACAGAAAGATCTATATTATCAAATCTTCTGATCCAATTATCAACATTAAAACTGAACAGACTATTTACAGGAAGATCTATATTATCAAATCTTCTGATCCAATTATCAACATTAAAACTGAACAGAATATCTACAGGAAGATTTATATTATCAAATCTTCTGATCCAATTATCAACATTAAAACTGAACAGAGTAAATATCTACAGGAAGATTTATACTACCAAATCTTCTTACCCAACAAGCACAGTGGCAACTTAGATTATTTTTACAGAAAGAAAAATCATTTGTGCCACTGATCGAGAACTTAGACTTTGACAAACAGTGAAAACCCAACATAAAACTCAACAAGAAATGTTTCAGACTTACTTGGCTGACATGTTGGAAATATTTCTGACCATTTTCCTTTTCTGCATGTCAGTTTGGTTGTTCCAGTTAAGTTGAATCCCCGCTCACACCTGACTGTTACATGATGGTCATGTGGCACTTGAAGAGCACTCAGATTGGCTGTGGAAAATTTCAGTTCTTCAACCCCAAACAGCACGTGCCCATTTTGTACAATGTCGGCAATGCAATTTTCTAAAAAGATAATTTATGATTTTCACTTAATTTGGTTCTATTCTATTTGGTTAACTCCTTGGCAAATTTGAAAGAAATTTAACCAATTGCAATACAAATATCACAAACACTTAAAAAATGATAAAAAAATTTAATAGAAAAAACAAATTTCAATCAGCAGCAGGAATTATCCACAATTTTGATCCATATTATTTGAAAATTAGAAAATATTAAAAGGTACAATTTAACAAAGTTTTTTGGAGATTATATATATATATATATATATATATATATATATATATATATATATATATACATATTTGTTTTATTACCAAATAACGTGTCATCATTAGGATATTGTTTATAATAAACGAATATTATAATATCCATTATTGTCAAAGACAAATTGTTGTGTTATCTGAAAGTTAAATTTTTTACAAATGGAATGAGGAACACTACATCAGTGCATGACCACTAAAACCAAGAGTATGAAAGAATCTTAATGAAAATGAGTAGACAGAATATGTCTAAACTGTACAACGAAATATGTCTTAATGAAAATATTAAATTTTATATACACACACACATATATATATATATATATATATATATATATATATATATATATATATATATTAGCAGTTGAAACTTACTTGAAACACATGAAGGAAAGTTAGCAGTCCAGTTGCCATAGTAGCAGTGAATATTGTGTGTTTTATTTTCCTTTGGAAGTTCATAGCCTTCGTCACAAATGATTGACACTTTTTGAGAATGGGACACGCTTGACACTGAAGAACCAGAAGCTGAAACAACTTTACCCTTAAGAATTGTCTGCACATGGCAACCATCTGTAATAATAAATAAAAACAAAAAATAATTTCATAAAACACAATTTAAATCACTGTTTAAAATCAGTTGCCACCTGATAATGTTCATACAAGGTAAATTTTATGTGAATATTTGTTTGAATAAATCATAAACTGAAAATGAGGCTGATGAAAGAAATTCAATAGATAAAAAAAAAAAAATAACATTGATAATAAAATGAATAATATTTATTGTGTATTAGTTGGTCATTTTGAACGAAGTGGAAGCATGGTAAGAAAGATTTGGAAAATCAAAATTTTTGCACATGCCCGTGTCCTTTCTCAACAAAACAAGAAATAAAAAATGGAGTGGGACTTTTTTGTATTTTTTTTTTAATTAATTTATTAATTAAAATCTACTTTTTATAACTATACAGTTAAGGTAAAAACGAAGCATTCAATGAGGTAAGAAAAAGAATTTTATTTCATAAGAACAAAATTAATAATGAAGTAATGTGAGATAAGTAAACTTTGAAAAAAATAAATAAAATAAAAACTGAGTTGAAATTAGTTTTATTTTACTTTTTATAACAATACAGTTAAGGTAAAAATCAATCATTCGGCTGCTTAATATGAATCCTATTTTATATCAATAATATAGATTTTGTTTTTTTACAAACCATAATCAATGTCACCCGAAAATATGTTGGCAAGACATCATGTGATTTCAAAAGACAACTATATATGACTAGAAGTAGTCAAACACACAGACACACACATGTATCACACACACAAGCACATTTTATAGTTTCAATAGCTTTTCCTTTCATTTCAATTTTGTACACAGGCAATTACTTTTGTTAATACATACATATATAACTACTGTTTGTTTTAAATTCATTGTTTTTGTGTTATTTATTTTTACCGGACTCACAAGAATCCGCCAAAATTGTTTGCAGGACAAATGTTGCAGGAGCCATTAAATATTTACTATAAATTGTCCATCCACCTCACAAACAAAAATGTGATACCCACAACATTAGTACTGAGACAATGTGGAATATTTAAACCATTAAAAATAAGATGGAGTTGAAATTAATCAAAATCTACTTTTTATAATGAGGCATTGAAGGTAAAAATCACGCATTAAATGAGGCAAGAAAAAGAAAACTAAGTGAAAGAAAATCCCCCGATGAGTGGATGGAGTGATTGCTAGAGGATCAGACTATGAAACTTTAGAGTCAAGATGCTGAAGGTAACACCAATCAGCTAAATGACAAGCTTTATACTTGTATGTATATATATATATATAGTAAAAGTAATAAATCCATTGGTATATAATCCAAGTGGATCCTAGTAATATAAAATATTAAAACTGATCCGCAAAAAGAGCTCAATGTATTTATTATTACAAAGCAAATCATTAATGCGCAACAAAATCCAAAATCACCTCATATGGAGAATAACTTTATTTCAGCTGACGAAAAAATAAAGTTTGTCAGTCTTAGGTTTAAAAATCCAAAATCATACTTAATAGTATAGTACTATTGTATTTTTAAAAATAACATTATCTATATATTTTAAAGTTTTTTCAAACCCCTTTTTATTCCTTTTTTAATTTCAAATTAACATTTCATTCTTCAGATAACCCCAATTTAATGTCATAAGGTTAATATCTGGGTTTAATTTTATAAAACCTCTTCCCTTTAAGACTAATACCTTCCATCCTCTCTTGACTACTGTCCTGTGCCTTTTGTCTGACTGAAACATTGAAATGGATAAATTCTGTATTAGTTTTTCAACGGGTGTTTAATTTTTTTTTTTGTAGCTTTCACAATTAAATTTCTAATTCTAACATGAACTCAGTCTATACCGGAGTTGATTAAGACTGATGAAGTTTATTTTTTTCTGTTGAAATAAGCTTATTCCCCATATTTTGTGATTTGGAATTTTATTATATATATATATATATATATATATATATATATATATATATATATATATATATATATATAGTTACGATGAGAACAAATGAAGTATAATTCCACTGTCTATAACATTTAATTTAAAAGAGGGCTCAATACAGAGTAGAGCTAAATATTATTTATTATAGGAGCTTAAAACAAAAACATGTTAAAAATTGTTACACGATAGCTGTTGTGTTTTAAAATACAAATGTGTCTCCTCAGCCAGTGGTATGCCCAAAAAGACACATTTGTAGTGTTGAAACATGATTGCTATTGTGTAGCGATTTTTAATGTTTTTGCTTTAATCTCCTGTAATAAATTTTATATATATATATATATATATATTGTAGGTCATCACTTGATAAGACACCAGAGGTGTTGAAACAAAATGGCTATTTTTGTAGTGATGTTATAACATATTTATGTTATAATTTTCAAATAAATAATTATATATATGTATATATATATATATATATATATATATATATATATATATATATAAGCAATGAAGAAAGAAAGAAAGTAACATATTTGTTGGCTGAATATCAAGAGATAATGAATGAAAATAACAACCTATTAAAATTCTTTAAGGAAAGATAGAGTAAAAAGAAACAAGAGAGGATGTGATAAAAAACATTTGTGCATTTGTTATACCTTTATAATATATGGAACTAATCTTTGTTTTTATAACAGAGAAAACCCATGACTACAAAAGTTTGAGAGGGATAAGGGCAAGAATGCGAAGATACAAGGCAAAGCATAAGAGAATGGCAGAGGCCCTAATATAATGGATAATCTTAGAATTCTTCCAAGACATTAGGTAGTTTCCATTATTTCACTAATCTCATTACCATTTTTTTAATAGTTCAGCTGATGCATTCTTGAACCTTCTTCTGTTTCTTCATTTTCACTATTTACATTATTCGGACTATTGTCCTCATCTTTGTTGCCATATTTATTATGATGTTTCAGCCGATGTATGCTCCAGCCTTCTTCAGGTGGTTGGAATGTCGAACTGAACCCTTTATTTCACTCACTGGGGTAAACTGTTTTAGTTCCACGTGCCATGTTTAATGGATGTCAGTTGTCAGTTATCTCCTGCTAATTTCCCTCTGAAAGTTCTCCACTGCCTTAACTGGGTATTGAACTCACACTCTTTGGGTCCTGTCACTGGATCTAACTAATGCCTTTATCCACTGTGCCATGTGTCCTTGAGGACAACTGACATTCATTAAACATGGCACGTGTAACTAGAACAGTCTACCCCAGTGAGCCAAATAAAGAGTTCAGTTTGACATTCCACCTGAAGAAGACCGGAGCATACAACGGCTGAAACGTTGTAAGAAATATGGCAACAAAGATGAGGACAATAGTCCAAATAATATAAATAGTGTACATAATACCTAATCTCAGAAATATAGACAGATACCAAAATTCATTTTGTTGGGTTTTTTTCTCTTATAAATATAATATAGCAATGAACTACAAAAACAAATCAATCTTGTATGAATTGAAGCATTTATTAAAAATATTTAAAGGTAAGGTTAACCAATCATAAAACTAGGACCTGCTTCTTTTTTAAGCAGAAAGCACAAGGTTATATAAAAAAAAAGAAGAGTATTTACACTATTTACATTGTTCAAACTGCCGTCCTCAACTTTATTGCCATATTCATGACATTTTGGTGATTAACTCAACTCTTCAAGTTTTTGTAATCCGAAAAGTGACTTGACCCAAAAGTTGTGAGTTCAAAACCTGGTCACAACAACTAAAGTGTACAATGGCTGAAATATTGTGAATATGGCAATAAAGGTGACAGTCCGAACAATGTAAATAGTGTAAATAGTTACAATACTTCATATCAGAAATATAGACAGATACTGAAGAAGGCCAGAGTTCACAATGGCTGAAATGTTGTGGACATGACAAAGCAAAGATATGGACAACAGTCCAAAATTTCAGAAATACAGACATAAAAGAGAAGACAATGAAAATAGAATGTTTTGAGTGGTGCAGTAAGTAATTGCATGATGTTTCTAAAGTAAGTGGATATGGGGAAGAAGTTGGCTACTGATCACGTGTCGTAGAACAAAACAATACAAAAGTTATGATTGAGTATTTTGTTTTACAGATGTTTACTAAGTTTAGCTCAGATCAACATAAAGTAAGAGAGGTACTGGAAATATTATTTTGAGACAAGTTACTAAGTGGGGAGAGTCTGCTGTGAAAATCATCACTTAAAAGCCAAGTTTTCTTAGGTTTGAACACCTGATGCCAGAGGAAAATGTGCAACTATCTCAGCCACCAAAAAGAATCAGAAAATGCTCACCTGAAATTTTGAGATGAAGCATTTTCATTATTCCTTTATTATTTGAATTCATATCCTTGTCATTTTTTTGTTTTTAACATGTTTCAGTTAAAAAGTTTTCCAGTTTTCATCAGATATATGTTACATCTGTTGTTGTTATTGATGGTCATTGAATTTGTTTTTACAATTCAATAAATCTGACCAGCAAAGTATAGTAATATTGAGAGAATATCTCAAGCCAAATCCATTAATTTTGCATATGGTAAACTTTAACAGATAAAATTTCATGCTCAGATTACCTAGTCGTTTTTTAGGACAAACTTATGTACTGCTTCTTTCAAGTCTCTTACTTTCTAATGTGGGTCTCCAACTATTACTTGAAAATTTTGATAAAATATTTCCCTTCCAACAATTACAGAAGAAAAATTAAAGAAAACTTACTTGGTTCACATTTGGGGAAAACCTCTGACCAGTTTCCATAACTGCAAGTCAGGATCTCAGCACCGTTTCTGTGGAATCCTTCCAGGCAAGACACAGTAACTGAATGTCGGTGAGACACTAACCCATTGGGCAATGAGGAACATGCATTTGTCAATTCTTTTTCTAAATATGACACGGAACCTTGCAAAATGGTCTGTACATGGCAACCCTCTACAGGTGGTAAAAATAAGAAAAACAATAAGGTTAATTTGAAGATATAAGCAAGCAAATCTGGAAAAAGAAAACACTGCCAATTTTCAAATGTAATCAAATTGTATGAAGATCCTTTTTATCTTTTTCAATCACAATTATTTTTATTTGTGAATGGACAAAGATTTGTCACCAATTTATATTTTTCTATAAATTCAAGTTCAATTTTAATTTTAAATGAAAATAAATAAGAGAATTATAGTTTAGAACCTTTTATGAGAAAACAAAGATACTAAATAAACTTGTTTTAATGAAAATGACAATTTTTACTTTTAACTAATGTTTTTCATCATAAAAATTAAAAATTTTATTTCCATATTGTTTTCATAGATTTGCTGTTGTTAACATAACATTTTGGCTAAACCATTTGTCTGTCTTTGTTAAGTGTCTTTCCAAAAGAAAAAAAGAAAATTATTTCTTTTTCCCCATTCAGTCAGTCTCTGGGCCAGGTAGTACAGATTCAGTTGGACACAGGGCAAGCAATAACTGAGCAGTACTAAATAAGAACAAGACAAGTTATCTCCCCTAGACATGGACAGCAGGATGAGAACAATCTAATCTCAGATTAAATAAAGGGTTTAGTTCAAAATTCCATGACTCTTACCGCCATTAAAAGACACCTAAAGAAGGCAAAACAGACAAAGCGTTGTGATAATAACAACAAAGATGAGGATTGTTTCTTTTTGTTCCTCTTTTCTCCACAAATCAAACAACAAAAAAGAATGTACCTGTTGCATTTTGTAATGCACAGATATGTTAGCATAACTTTAATCACAGTTTCATTAATAAAGCAATTAACATTATTAATACACAGTTGACAGGAATATTAATATATTTTACTTACTTGGGACACATTCTGGAATGCTGTGTGACCAGTGGCCATAGGAGCAGGTCAACATGCCTGTGCCAATTAGAGTGTAACCAGCTTCACATATTACAAAGATACTTGACCTGTGTTTGATCTGGGTCTGATTTGTCAACTCTTGACCTTGATATAAAACTTTGCCATTAGACAACTTAGAACTGAGGCAAAATTCTGAAATGAAAATCCACAAAATATTCATCACTGAAAATATATTTATATGAAAATATTGTTATAAACCAAATTAGAAAAGGTAAACTCCATTAATTCATTATTTGAAAAGGTATACACTTATCAATGAGAATTAAATGTTTCTTATATTATGTATGGCACAAGGCCTTAGTCATTGCACACTCAGTGAAGAGTAAACGTGTTAAAACTTGTAAAATGAACATTTTAAACAGTAATCTATAGTAGATAATTTTAAAGAAATCTTGATAATTTGGACCAACTTAATACCTCTTTTCTTTCACATGGTTTATTATAAAATGCAATTTTTTTTTTTTTAGAATTAACTGTACTCAAATTTGTACAAATCTTAAGCATCTTATTTCTGGGATGGGGCATTGTTATTATTTACACTAGGGGTCAGCAGTCTTTTGCTATGTGCCAACTTGGGTTTTTAAAATCATTCAGTGTGCCAACAGCATATGTATTCTTATATAAGTCAAGGTCAATCAATATATCTGTTCTACAATATATTTTATATAGTAATATATAGTATATATATTTTAGTATATATCAAAATTGAAACAGCTGTGTTTGTGTATATATATATATATATATATATATATCAGCAAATGAAGCAAATGTGTGTGTGTGTGTGTATATATATATATATATATATATATATAGCAGCAAATGAAGTTACATACAGAGTGATAAAGGTTTGTGAGAACATTGTTATTATTATAAATAAAAATAAAATAATAATGATGATGAAAATTATAAATAAAATTTAAACATCGTTTAAAATAAATAAATAAATAAAAAATTAAAAAAAAATAAAATTACTGCCAGCATGCAACAGGGACTGTTCCTGCCAAAAATATGAACATCCTGCCCAGAGATGTGGAATTCAAACTCTTTGCCCAAGGACTGTCATGATGACGATACATGTGTAAGTTCCCTCTGTGATAGGACTTGTGTGATATTACGGAGTGACTTACTCCCTTTTATGACATGAACCTTATCACAATTATAATGTAAAACACACAGACACACACACACTAATACACACAAATACATAAATAAAATTGTATGAAATTACCATGCAATTTATCATGTTTTATTACTGTTATTGTGCACATTGCTTGTTGTACTGTTTTTCCTCGTGAACATAAGCCTAATTTTTATGACCACATGGAGTGAGTGAATATACCTCCACAAGTTAACGAAACAAAGCAAGATTAAACAATTTTGGCAATCTTCAAACTTTGTGCGCCTCAGGATGGTTTTTCCCTTGACACCACTATTATTTTAACTACCTTCACTCCTAGGCAATATAAATATTGGTAAATATGTAAGATAATTTGAAAAAGTTTTCTAAATTGTCCTATATATTTACCATTCTGTTGGATTATCATCTAACAGCCATCTAATATTAGTATAGTTCTTGTGGCACTGTCTAATAGCACTTTGTTCAAATAAATGAAATGTAAGTCTGCATGAAACGTATCCAGAATCTGAAAAGTATCCAATGATTTAATATTCCTTAATTACAGACATTAGTTCTGTTCAAAGCATTCTCCTCAAGATCTGATAATTATCCCAGCATCCCTTTCACATTTTGGTTTACAGACACATCACATTGTACAATCACTGTAGTTAAGCAAAGTCTAGCCTGGTCAGTACCTAGATGGGTGACTGCTTGAGAATACCAGGTGCTGTAAGCTTGGATGTGCAGGTGGTGTAATGGATAATGGCTCAGAGTTAATTGGAGAGACAAGTTTCAATTTCAGTTGAGTTCGTCATATTCACTTACATGTAAATACCCTTGAGAAAAGTATGAATCCACCTCCTCTCTCCACAGCTATGAGTTAATTAGTAAGATTTGTATCAAGAAATAATTATTATCTCAAAAAAAAAAAAAATAAATAAATAAATTCTTATAATCTAAAAACATTTTCTGGGTTTAAATAACCTGCTTGATAAGCCATAAAAAAATGAATCAATTCATAAACTTTTCTTATTTCAAAACTGTCTGCTTGATGTCTAATTATGTTCTCCTTAATCTCGTCCACTGTCTGAAATCTCTGCCTTTTACTGGTGATTTCAGCTTTAGAAAACTTCAGAAATTAGAAGAAACCAACTCCAGATGGGTGGAGGTGAGCGTATACCTGAGTAAGTTGATGTTTTGCCAAAGAAACCTTGTATGAAGAATGGGTAGGCAAATGACCATCAGAAATTCAAGGCTCACCCAGTACACAAAATCAAACTACTAACTGAATAACTCCATGAGAGAATGTTTATAGATGCTCAGTAATGTTTCCCTTTGTTTGGTTGCCAAGTGACACCAAAGACACTGGTTCTTAATATTTTCAAACCACTGACTCTCTGCTCATTATATAGCAGGCTAATGAATATCATATTCTGTAATTTTATTTCTCACAAATTTGGTATTGGGTCAGGAGTAGTTAGCATTGAATTGTTGTTCATCAAATGCTTTTCAGAAAGTTAAGATCTTTCAACGCAAATCATTTTCTTCTTTTATTTCTAACTTTAGACATGTGGTTAAAATGGATAATTTGCAAGAACATTCATGCCTAAAAGTACAAAATTATTACACATGAACAACAGGAAAATGAGGTGGAAAGGATTTAAACCTGGAAGCATTTTACTGGAAATTCTGCCCGCTTTTGATGGAAACTCAAATTCTGTTTTTTCCTTCAGCTTTGAAAGAATAGACAATCTTAATTGCCAGAATTTAGTATTTGCTAATTATCACTAATTGGCTACATTTTGGCAGGCATTTCTGAAGTGCACCTTTCCAGTGCCTAACTGCATTTGTCTATTTTTGCTTATTTTCCATTTTGATGAGTTTAAACTAATAAACCAATCAAAATTACTAATTATTTTCAGAAACCTTCAGTTTTAAACATTTGCAAAATTGTTTAAATATGATTGACAAAGTACATTTTCTTTTTTATAAATCTTGGTAATATATATATATATATATCACCAACACTCAATGATTATATATATATATATATATATATATATATATATATATATATATATATATATATATATATATATATATATATAAAGTACAATATATTGTAAAATAATTATTGTAAAAGGGGACTAAAAACAGCTGTGCCTAAAAGGTGTAAACACTAAAAAGTGTTCAATAGAAGATTCCAAAATTGGAAATGTAGAGCAAAAATATTTTGAAAAACACTAAAATGAAATCTACTTTACTACCTGGGTTTGAAACCCGAGGAGTAAGGTAGGTTGTATTTTAGTGCTTTTGAATATATATATATATATATATATATATATATATATATATAGTGTATATTTTGGCTGCATGTTTCATTGAATGATTTAGGCAAGTTTTGTCTACTTATTTTCACTTGGATCGTTTCATAATCATGAACAAATTTTTGGTATCATTATTAAAGAAAGAGTGAAAATTACTGTGTTGGTACATATTATTTTATTTCTAGTACTTTGCCTTTGAAAATGATGAACACTACAATGTTTGTCTTCAAATAAACAACACCCTGATGATGACATTGTACTATGTCAAAAGTGCTCAGGATAAAATAATATGTATCAACATGGTAATTTTCTCTCTTCATTTAATGACACCAAAAAGCTTGTCCATGGATATGAAATGATCCAATTGAAAATAAGTAGACAAAATGTGTTTAAATTATTCAATGAGATATATATATATATATATATATATATATATATATATATATATATATATATATATATATTTGAGAGAAAGATGTGCCTTCAATGATAGCTTTATTTTGGTGTTATTTGTAAAGAGCTATCTAATATTAGTATAGTTCACGTGGTGCTGTCTAATAGCACTTTGTTCAGATAAATGACATGCAAGTTTGCATGAAAGAGATGTATATTGTTTATTAGTTATAAAGATGCAATCTCCAAATGTACAGATAAATTCATAAACAGTATTAGTCTTATGTATGGTGGATTGAGAAATGTTTTTGATAATTAGATTACTGGTTTTAAATTATTTTATGATAGATGATAATTCTTATGTGTATTTCTTTCTACAGGTTTTGTATGTCTATGATACATTATATAACATATGGATTTGCATAATATATAAATAATATACTGGAATAATTCCTATAAGAATATATTACAAAGAAAACCAAATTTACTTGTTTGCGTTTTGAAAGATTTTTTGACCCCAAAAATTACTCTATTATAATTTAAGATTAATCAGTATTGAAGGATAGAACAAAAATCAAATTGTTGCCAATGTCCATTTGATTTTTGTACTTTTGTTTCTATTGCTGTTTTGTTTTTATAAAAATCATTTTGTATAAAGACAATGAAAAATTTACACATAAAATTTTATAAGAAATGATTTTTTGAGTTTTTGTTTTATTATTTTGAATTGTCAATCATTATTCATTTTTTGACTCCTCTTTTTTTTTTACTTCTTAACATTTTCATTACAACTATTTAGACCATCATTCTATATTGTCTTCATTTACAAAGATTTGCTAAACACTTAGCAGCAAGTGTAGAATTGTTCAGATTTATTCAACTCTTGTAAATTCCATTGAAGTCAATCAATATTTTAAAACATTTTTTGGTGTTTTTCCTAAAAAATGTTGATGTCGAATTTAGAATTCTTTTTTTCTTCCAGAATTTAGAGAAATCTAATAAAAAAAAAATTGATTTTTATATGAGTCACATTTTGGAATTTCTAAAAAGCTATAAATGAAAGAAATTCTTCAAATGACAAATTTATGCAACCATTTCTTTTTCTGGAATTATTGAGGAATGATAGGATTTTCACCAAAATTATATTTTTTTTAAATTATTCCTACATCAAGAGCTTCTTTTGTACAGTTTGCTCCAGAAATTAAAGCCTATAGTTATAGTCATGAAGTAGGACACAATTTACATTAGGAAAATATTTTATGGTTTTTAGTTTAGATATAAAAAAAAAGAAGAAATTAAATTAAAAAAAAATATGGATGCTGTGCTGTTCTTGTTATTTACTGATTTATTCAGTATATTAAAATTCTTCAATTAAAATTTCAAATTAAAATTCTTCAATTAAAATAGGATCTTGAAACAAAATAATATGAAGTATCTACAAGAAAACATCTTCGGTAATTTTCATTTTGAAAAAAAAATTATCATACACCCAAACAATTCCAGGAAGTAGAAGTCTCTATAAAAATCTCAAGTTGATACTTGGCAAATCAAACCAATTATGGCACAAAGACAGATTCATGGAGTGCCCAATGAGAAATAACTTTACTAGCTTATGGCATTAGGTAAATTTGATCAAATAGTTTGATAATGGATTTTCCAAACAAACAATAAAGTTATCAAGATTTTTTTTTTAGATTTTATTCTTTTTAAATAATCAAGTAGGCCAAATTTACATTTGCTTTTCTTTGCATGGTCCAGCTCAAGATGACAGCTGTAAGGTACCAAAAGTTGACTAAACTCGTGTTACTTGCAAATTGATCAGAGAGGCAAGCTTTTAAGAATTAATCTGCAATAACAAGTCTGGCCAAAATTCTATAAATTCACAAAATGGTTAACCCTACAAATTGCACAACTGCTACCCATACAGGTTGATTTGGTCACATTGTCCAAATGCATACAGATTTCATTTGAGCTGGTCATATGAAAATTATTATCATATCTTTCAAAACAAAAGTTTAACTAAAACTCTAAATAAATGAATAAAGAAATGAATCAATAAATTAGCCTAAGACAAGAGATTACAACTTGTGGTTTACAATCAGAAGTTGTAACTGAAAATTAATACTTGAAAACTATTAAGATATATTAACTATTAATATTATTATTGGTTTATTACTTTTTTCTGTCTGAATTTCTGTGATAAGGAGTTATTTACACTATGCAAAAATTTTATCCTCATCTTCGTTTTTGCCATTACAACATTCAGACCATTATATTCTCCAGCCTTCATCAGGTATATGCTGACTTTTTACATGCTCATATATATATATATATATATGCCACTATACATACACATACACCCCCACATATATGCACATGTATTCTTATGTAATTTGAAATCTATTTCTATGTCTACATTTTGTGATTAGTTCTCTCCGTTGATTTAATAGTTTGCATTGATCTTTATATTTTATTATTCTGATTTTTTCTTCTAAACATAGTTTGCACCTATCACTAAAACTATTAGGAGTGTTCACAAAACCTAGAATTTTCCAATTTATTTGAGGATTCAGACCTTTTTCCTTCAATTCCCCAAATTTTTTCGAATGGGCTGTTTGGTGTTTTAATTTTGGATTGGCATATATATATATATATATATATATATATATATATATATATATATATATATATATTTTTTTAAAGTGGCACATATGTATGAACATGTAAATGTACTTATATGTAGGTATGAAGATATATACGCATATAAGTGTGTTGGACAGCATGGTTTATTCCATAGGGTGCTCCAGCATTACCCACAATCTATAAATCTATAATTCAGCTAATTTACATTAATCTTAACAGGTTTAAGTTTAAATCCCCCACCACTTATTAATATTATTAATAATATTGGACCCCTGTAATAAAAAAAACTATTTACTGTGAATCCCAGAAAAAGACACTCCAGGCTTTTTATAAGAAACACCACATAGTAGGAATTGATATTAAATTACAAACAAGTCCTAACCATAAATAAACTCCAACCCCAGACCGCCCCCCCTCCCCGGGATAAGATACCTTATGCCCCCACCAATCACTAACACAAACCCACCCTCATTAACAAGATGTCTATGAGAGGATGACTGACATTGAAAATAAATTTAAAACAAAGACTGCCAACTTGAAATAGACTATATCCATCTTGAGGTAATTTTTGTTTTTTTGCTATAAAAAAAAAAAAAAAAAAATATATATATATATATATATATATATATATATATCACGTAGCAACGATTTCATTAACCATATAGGCGTTAGGCTAAAGTAAAATCTTAAATAAAGAGAAAATTAGATATAAAAGAAAGATAAATAAATAGATAAAAACAGAAATTTAATCCAATGCTTCTGATTCATGCGAGCGAATATATTCTATGATCAGCCATACCCCCTCTTCTCTTCACAAATTTCTTTCTCTCTTATCCTCTCTTCCACCCGCCAAAATGTCAGGCCCGTGAACTTAGAAGTGACCCGACGCAGGATGACCTGGTTCTAAGATTTCGCGTTTGACCATGAGTAAACTCCAGACACCATCAGGGTCTCATGCTGCGATTCACGTGATCGGGACGTCTGAGCATCTTGCGTTGAACTTTTGGCCATCACACAAACACTAAATGATTTGCGCCCTATTCTCCCTCATTACCGGTCAGGACCGAAGGGAACCCAAGTGACTGTCTGTGGGGACAGCGAAAACCAAAGAAGGATTTTTCAGTTTCCCTCTGACCAGCGGCAGTTGAACATCGCTGGGCAAAAAATCGTCAGACCGCCCATTGAGATGAGGAAGACCACGAAGTCTATCGACCAGTGATTGAACACTTGCGAAAAAGAAGAATCCAGGAACATTGTCGGCGGCCAAGATACTGATTTATCATCAGAACTCTCGCTTGGCCGAATCAAAACTTTATGAAGATACCAGCCCGACTGCAAGATAAGTTGGTTCTTTTGGCTCGATCTATTTTCATATATGTATGTATTCGCTCGCGCCTTCTATTCTTTACTGATGTCCTCCCCTTTGTTAAATGAATGTTCTTTTTTTCTTTTCTTTGTTTCGCTATATATATTTTATAAATAAATGTTTAATTTTGAAATCCATCGTCTTTATGCGTCTGTTCTTCGTTGATTCCCTTGTGTCGCTTCCATTTCTGGTGAAGACCGAAAAAAAACCACGTTTTCCTTTTTTTTTAGAACCCGTGGTTCATCTATATGCTACAAGTTCGTAACAATATATATATATATATAAATGAGTTTTACAATAATGGTTTATTACTATTATATATATAATAGTCCTGTTCTGTCATTAATGCTTGTATTAATTCCTGGCCAATCATTCTCAATTTTCAATGCATAAGATCGAGAACAAGTACTGAAAGTTGTTAATACAACTTTTAAGCTAAAAAATGTAAGAATTTTGACTTCATCTTTTTGTCATCTGTTTCTATAGAAAGATTTTATTTGCCTTATTGAAATTCAATCACAAGCTAGCAGAAAAAATATCGGCATGTTTACATTTAAATGTAAAATAAATGTAAGTTTGGCTTCTAAAAATAACTTTAAAGAAAGTGGATAAATAGCAGACAATCTAAAAATATTGAAATTTTTACAGAATTCTATAATTTTAGGCCCAGCAACATTAGTTATGATTTTATTTCCTGCACCATTCATAGTACCCATTGTTGTTGTTGTTCAAGAATTAAGAAGACAAGATAACGATTGAGATTACATTTAAATTTTTGAAGATCAAATTTGACTGGAAAGCAAGAAGCCAGAAGAGATTTTCACATGAAAAAGTGCAAGAGAAGAAACTGTTAGCATAGAAATTAAAGTTACATCAAACCATATTTTGCTGAAAATGTTGTTCATGAAAAAATTTTAGAAAGTTTTAAGGATATCTATGACAAAATGGAAAATGTTTTTGTGTGATACATTTTGTTTTTTAGGACTTCATCAGATTAAGAAAAAAAGTTAAAAATCTTTCTCTATTGCCTAATATTTTTCATGCAATGTTTACAACCAAGGAAAGGAGTAAAGCTGGCAATAATAATTCCTGTATCTATCAGATTCCAGTGCAGTCAACATTCCACATTGATTATTCTATCATTTTCCCCTAGAATTTGTTGTCATCTATATTAAAGAGAATGAACGTCTTTGTTGAATAACTCACTGATAATGTAAACAGTTATTAACAATTAATGAACACTCTTGACTTACTGGGTTGGCATGTAGGGAAGTCATGTGACCATCTGCCTTTGTTACAAGCCAGAGCTCCATCCCCATGAAGGACATAATCAGAATCACAAACAACTGATAAGGTAAGTCCATGGTCCACTGGTTTAATTGGATTTAAGTCTCTCCCAACAGCCAGAATTCTTCCATTGGCAACTGGTTGTGGGATACAGCTTTCTGAAAGAGAAAAATTGCCATAAAATGACAAAGAAATAAATCTAGCATTCTTGCTTTCATTTTCACTTGGTGGCTGAAATAGTTGTATATTTTTCATTCATGCAGGAGATTCAAACCCAAGTAAAAGTCATAATTTCAAATGCTAATATTCAAGGCAAACAGGTAGGCAGGCTCTCTCCTGTATCTGTCCATGTTTCTGAGATGAGGTGTTATGTATACTATTTACATTATTCGGACTATTGTTTGAATCTTTGTTGCCATATTTATCACAATGTTTCAGCTGTTGTATGCTCTGGCCTTCTTCAGGCTCTCCCCTACTTGCTCCTATTTGGCCTTGAGCCAGACTAAAGTATGTTTAGTAAGAGAAGGGACTTGTCTTGTGGCTGAAATAATGGCAATTTACTGGCATCAGTGTTGGGCTTAGCAGGAATTCGATTATGTGACCTTGGGCAAGGGAAGGTTTTTGAACTAATTTAGGTTTGAATAAAAAAAAGAAAAGAAAAATCAATATTGGTGATCCATGATGCATGAAATTTATGAAGCTCCTTTAAATTACTTAATAATGGCTTCAATGCTGTACTTATATTTATTCTTATTAAATCAAAAGGTCTTATAACTTAAATTGTCTGAATTTAATATTGATTAATTATCACTAATTGTCTACATTTTGGCAGGCATTTCTGAAGTGCACCTTTCCAGTGGCTAAATGCATTTGTCTATTTTTGCTTATTTTCCATTTTGATGAGTTTAAACTAATAAACCAACCAAAATTACTAATTATTTTCAGAAACCTACACAGTTTTAAACATTTGCAAAATTGTTTAAATTATGATTGAGTTTACTTAAGTACATTTTCTTTTGTTATAAATCTTGGTAATTTGATTCTTGGCAGCAAAACACCCACTACCAACCAACAACATGCAATCAACAAATACACAGACACATACATACATATATATATATATATACAAAATGTTTGTCTGTGTATATATCAAAACAATGCGAATTTGTGCAGTGAAAAAAAAATGTATGATTCACAGACACTAGAGTCTAATAAGATGAAGTCTAAGGAGACAGTCTTTTTTTTTTACTTACAAAGAGACGGGTCCCTGGACTGGATGTACAGAGACTCCAGTGCTCACAAATGAAAAGGAGAGTGCGAACTAGACAAAACGGAGAACCAATTCGGACTGAAATTCATTGCACATTCCCTGCAATTTATAAGATGTTCAGTGATAGCTGACCCGGATGTATTGACCAGCTGGCTCTTACGAGCATCAGGATTAAGAACACGTGATGGGACATGCTGCCTAACCTCACAATCCAAGCACAACCACAATCAAACGAATAAATCATTGAAGAAACATGATGGGAAGGAAGAGGATCCTTACGCATAGAGGAAAAGGCAGAATGAGTCACAAAATGAATCCCTAGTTGAGCAGAAAAATAGCACAGTTGAAGAGCAGACAAGATCCGCTTAGCTTTCCCTGTGAACCAATATATATATATGTATGTGTGTGCAAGTCTTATATATATTATTTATATATTATATATGTGCAGTACTTACTGGAAAGCACTCAATATCAGTGATAGAGCTAACATATTTAGTTGGATTGATGAGCATTTGTGACCCTGGGTTTCATGCTTTCTGTGATCGTCAATTTGTCTGATGATTGCAGAGAGCGTGAAACCCAGCATCAATCAAATTCACATCAATATATATATATATATATATATATATATATATATATATATATATATATATATATATATGAAAAATTTAACCCTGTTTATATTTATAAAACATGATACTTAGAAATATTAAAGATTTTTTTCAAATATAATTATGCAATATGTTCAGTGCAGAAAATATTTACAGAAACTATCTACATAAATGACAGCCGTCAATCCAATTCAAGCAAAAGTGAAATTTCACTTTGCTATGTCAGTCTCAATCTTTATAGAGTATCTTCTGAATTTGAGATGGTGAATGTACTTTTGACAAGAGTCAAAACTCTGAGTTGCTGTCCATCTGTGAATGGAACAAGACGACAATAGAAATAATGCTCCTGGGAATCCTGCCTTAAATAACACAACATTCGTATTAAACACAACTCAAAAATCAAAAGGAAAATCTTGATTATCTCACCTGGTTTGCAATGAGGGAATGGTGATGACCATTTTCCAAGATGACAGATAATCTCAGTTTTTTCTGACATTTTATAGCCATTTTTACAACTGATTATCAATTGGTCACCATGTGCAATGCTTACTGAAGATTTTAAAAATGCTCCTTTGTATACCAAAATGCCATTTTCAATGAGCTCGGTCTGACATCCACCTGAAATGATTGAATACAATGGACAACATGACTGTATATTCATTAAATGTTTGAGATTTATTTATTTATGCATATGTGGTAATGGAGGATTGTAATTTTGCAGTGAAAATTTAGCAACATCTTTTAAAAGAAAGAAAAAAAGTTCAGATTCAGTTTAAAATGCAAACAAGTGAAACAATACTGAAATTTCAAAATAACACATTTGAAAAGAAATCAAAGCAGTTTAAAATGAATGTCAAAAAATTTCCTTAAAAATTATCGCTTAAAAAAAAAAAAAAAAAAAAAAAAAAAATATTAACTTTTTTAACCCATTAGCAAAAACTTATTTACAAATATATACAAAGTCTTCTCTGAGTAAAACTTCTCCATATCTCCTACTGGGAGTGCAAAACTAATGACTATTTATGGAGCAAGGTTAAAAGTCTTGTGGATCAATAGGAATATCTCTTCATCATTATCAAATATCAGAAGATGTCACATCACACAGCATAACAGCCTCTGCAAGACCGTCATGAAAGCCATTGTTGAAGGTAGATGCAAGCTGGGACAGCAATGCAAACATGGTCAGACAACATTAAACAGTGGTCAGACATGATAATACTGGAAATCCTGAGAGCCATCACCAACTTCAGATTGTCCTGAAGGAGGTTGTCTGTTTTTTCTGTCTTTAGTTCACCACCGCCCCTTTGATTGAAACAGTCAAGAAACTGATGATGATAGTCTTAATAAATATTGACTAAACCCAAAACTGTCACATTTTTGGTGGGTGGGGGTTTCAGATCAAAATTGAACTTTGACATAATTGATAGCAAAAAGAGATTTAAACACATTTAAGTTTCATGCCAACTGGCAATGTTAGACTTTAAATGAAATTCAGAAACATTATATGTATATTATGTGTGTAGAGGGTCAAGAAATATGACAGTTTATTTCCAGTTTGGTCAATGACTGCATGGGGGAGGGACAGAGTGGAGATCATGCCTTTCCCAAGGTTATTTGCATGCAATTTAATATAGCAAACTTAACCAGAAATCAAACTTCTCTTACCAATTTCTCATTCCAAGCTGCCATATGACTAGATTTTAAACTGAAAATTAGGATTCCAACTTTGGAAAGCCAACTGAGCTTTACTTTGGGTGTATTTGGGCAACAATTTTTTGTGCAAACAAATCTGGTTAAAAACCAACAAAAGATCTTTTAAGAATTTTTAATGTATTTTTCTATATTTTAGATCATTTTCTTGGTTTTGTGTATATATCTAAATATGAATTGTCTAATATCTGATTACTTTCAGTTATTATTAACCATTATTAAAGAATTTATTTTTGCGCTATGTCATTGGTTTCTTCATTTTTAAGTATTGTATGCAGTTTCTACATGTTCACATGATAGTTTGTATCATCTGTTTTTTTTTTTTTTTTTTAAATTATTATTGAAATATACTTAGTATATAAGAATAAGAATTTTTCACTTTTCCATTATGTTGATTTGTGGAGGATGTTTCTAATTTTGCCTAGATTAGAAAATTTGCTAAACCAATAACAAAAACCAATGGTCTGTTTATATTTAAATCCAACTCAAGAAATGAAACACTTACGTGGGTCACATGATGGCAGCTCCGGGGACCAGTTGCCATGGAGGCAAATAACATTATTTGTACCATTCAGAGTGTAACCATTGTTGCAACTAATTGCAACAGACTTCTCATGATCTACGAGATTTGCGAGAGGCAATTTTGAGGATAGGATGCCATTGACAATGGAGGGTGGCTGACATTTTTCTAAAAAGGAAAATAATTAAAAAATATTAAAGAAAAGAATCAGAAAAATAGCAGAGTAAATGCAATTGTAAACAATTTTTTTTTTTAAATCAAATTACAGTTTTCTTTTTTAAATCATTATTTTTTTAAGGAGTAGAAGAATTTAATTTTCAGTTAATCAAATTAATATTTAATCACCTTCCAATTTGGATGACAGCATTGAAGGTAATAACTTTAAACAATTTCTTAACAGAACAAAACCTAAATATAACTTTAAGAAATGTGACATGTTGAAATCAACAGTCAAAAAGAAATGGGTGGGAATGAAATTCATTTTAAGTAGCCATCTTTTCAATCAGTCTTTATCAAAGAGAATCCTTGAGAAGTTTAAAATATTGAACCATCGTAAAACAAAATTATCAATAAAAATGAGGTAAAAGTAATTCTTATCTGTCACCCCATAAAAAATCTGATTTATTTAAATATATGCACTCTGTTGGATACAATGGAGCAATGAATGTGTTAGTTTTGGTTGAAAATCTCAGTTTTGTAAGAGTTGTAAATCTGTATCTGTCTATATTTCTAAGATGATGTATTATGTACCCAGTGAGCGAAATAAAGGGTTGTTCGACATTCCAACCACCTGAAGAAGGCCAGAGCGTACAACTACCGAAACGTTGTAATAAATATGGCGACAAAGATGAGGACAATAGTCTGAATAATGTAAATAGTGTTGTAAATCTGTCTCAAATATTAGAATTGTTGAGCAGGTAACTGGCAAGAAATGTGTCTCCATTGTGGCAAGATCATATTGAAAAGAATTTCAAGAGCCTGTTTTTTCTCTAAGGCACTGTTTAGGCTTCATCAAATTCTCTCTTTCAATCAATCAATAAATAAATATGTATATGTAGAAATTTCAGATAGAGTATATCTGTAAATGAATAAAAACAAAGGAAAATTTTTCTTAGACAACACGATTCATCCTCTGATGGACTTTATCAAGGCAAATGTAAGGATTTTATTTTGTAACAAGTATTTAGATACAAGAGCAAAAATGTGATTAGGTTTTCAAAATTTTTCGTATAGGGGTGCTCACGAATAGTCATTAAGTTAGCAGAAAAGTCATTTTTGATATTGTATATAAATACTTGTACTTAATATTTAATTTACATTTGCCTTTATAAAGTCCCTCAGAGGACAAAACGAGTTGGCTAAGAAAGTGTTCCTTTTGTCATATATATATATATATATATATATATATATATATATATATATATTCAGCATTCAGAAAATTAATTTAAAACAGTGCTCAATACAAAAGTAGAACAATAAATATTTATTTATTATGCACTGTTATTAAATAAATACCCACTACAAAACTGTAGAGTTTTGTAGTGGGTATGTACATGTTCTAATGTAACAGTGCATTGTGTGTGTGTGTGTGTGTTATTTAACTCAACAAATGAGACATTAAAAAAACTGTCAAATGGAAAATACAAGAGAATTTTAGAAAAGGATTTTACTCTCATCTAGTCAGATGGCAGGGAAAATCCAAGAGAATTTAGTGGTCTTACAGAGTTGGAATACCAAGCTCAAATTCCACAGAACTCTGCTAATACTGGAACATGAAAAAAAAAAAACAAAAAAAAAAGCTGTAAAGTACTTCTCCAAGCCAAAAATCTATGTTTGAGGATATATTAAAATATTTTGAATTGATGAATGTTGTTAATGTGCAACTTTTTCATCCATGAGATCTAAATGTGCCCCTATCCCCAAATACTGGGACATGAAATGAATAGAAAATTTGAAAATTTCAAAGTGCATTTTTTAAGAATTCAAGACAAAATAATTTCTGTAGGATTTTAAAAATGCAAAACAAATAGAATTCTAACAAAATTAATTAAAACGTACTTGACAAAAAATATTTTATTATTCTTAATTGTCAAGATCCCCCTGCAAATAATAAATAAATAAATCCTTAAAATATTGTTCTTTTGTCTTGCTTTTCTTTTTCATTCTTTCTTGAATTTGGGATTCTTCAACATTGATAAAATTGTCAGTGAATATGACTGGCAGGAGAGAGCATATTCCAAATTTTATTTTTAAATTTTGGCCAGCTTTTTTATTTTTATTTTTATTTTGTTTTTTTTTAATCACCTCCCCACCCTAAGCAAGTCAATAAAGCCACTAGGACACAAGAGGTTACTGAGTATTAGAGAATATGAAAAAAACTATTAAGAGAGGAAAATGAAAAAAAAAACAAGAATTAAGAAGACAGAAGATAATGATTGACATTGCATTTAAATTTTTGAAGATGAAAGTTGACTGGGAAAAAAGAAGCCAAAAGAGAGTTCCACAAGCAAGAAGTGCAACAGAAGAAACTTAGCATAGAACCAATAGATATATCTAGCCATTTCAACTGTAAATTGATCTATTATTGTCTGTTACTAAATTATACCAGTAAAGAGTTTCTTATGTGGGTAAGAAAATAACATGTTAATCATGTCTTTTGAGAGATTACAAATGTTTTATGCAATGCAGCAATATAAACAAATAGATAAGTACAAGCAAGAATATTAAAAGTCAAGTCTACTTTGAAGAGTCATTAATATTGAAAAGACTATTTGGACAACTGAAGTCTTTGTATACTTAATGTTAAGTGTTTCAGCTTTATTTTAAAAAAAGGTTTTTCTCTTTTTCTCTCATAGACTATACACATGGCAAAGGCTGAAATATTGTGTCAACAATATCAGTTATATGAAGAAAGATATCCAGTTGTCTTAACATCTGGAATATTAATGATAACATTTCATTATAAATAAAACAATGCTATTTTTAGCAAACCTGAAAGTCTTACTTACTTGGATTACACATGGGCAGTGGAGATGGCCAAGTGCCATTCTGACAGATTATGTCCAGAGGTCCTTCCGCTGTGTAGCCATTTTCACATGCCACATATGCACGACTGTTGTGGGGAAGCTTTGTCAATTTGTTGGAGAGAAAATGAACAAGGAAGCCGTTGGGAATTCTGGGAATGGAGCATTCTCCTGTAAAAGAGGAAGAAAAACTGTTCAGATGCAATAAAAGGATTTGTGTCAAATTTTATAGCATTCTTTGTCTGCTTAGCTCAATGGTCGAGTTATTGATGGATCAAAAAGAGATTTCAGGTCTTTTTGCTGAGAAATGCGCTTTTAAATGTCAACCTTTCTGAGTGTTTTGAACATTAATGAAAAATAAAGAAAATGCTGATTAATTAGTTTTCTGTTGATTTTTAAATTTTCAATGACTGAAGCTTACAAACAGAACTGAAAGAAAAGAGTGGCAGAATGACTGAAGATGAGAGCTCCTATCTTGCCTAAACTTAAGATTTCAGTGACCAAATTGGTAATGACATCATTAGAACTTCTTTATTCTGTGAGTCTACTTAAAATTTCAAATTTACACATAAAAAGTGAATATGTTATATCTTAAATATTGGGCAAATACTTTTTCAACTAACAGCAAATACTGAATATTATTAAAACCAGTATCCTTATCTTTATTTTATCTCAAAACTTTTACCATGACATTTTTAGGGCTTTCTGAGCTGTACAAGTTCCTATTGAAAATACATTTCTTAGCAATATTCAAGGAGTATTGAAAGCAATGACCATTTGAGAAAGGTAAATCATACGGGATGTATCTCCTCCTTCCTGTGTTGGTCTTCAGGTTCCTTCAGACCACTGCGGTTACCATTTAGCTGACTCCTCACTTGTTAACACATTGCTGGTTTGTCGCTGGTATCCTGTTGATGAACACAGTTCTACTCAATCTAGCTGGAGTTTGTCTACTTCATGATCATCACTCCTCTGCCATGTTGTGTTTTTGGTCTCAGAGCATGAGAAGATCACTGATGAAGTAAACTGAAGTGAAAATAGTTTGATGGCTCGAAGTTACACAAAAAAGAATTCTTTGGAATAAAGAATTAACTCAAGTTAAAAATGTAACAACAATTTGGTTTATATATGATTTGTTGTATACAGCGGTTTTTAACCCTTCCCACCCCACTGTTATAGTCAATTGACACAGGGATCTCCTTTTAAAGTTTACAGCCTGTGTTAGTAATTTAAGTTTCTAAGTTCTGGTCTTCAGGGTCAGGAGATCTCGGCAAATGATGTGGATTCCAGTAGCAGTAATGTGGGAACATTTCTTTGTTATCAAAACCTCCAGCTCATATGGAGTCCTGCATCTGGCAGGTGTGGGGTTGACCAGAGTCTGGGGGTCAGTTATTTTCCACCCTTAGCATCAACCTTTTTCTAAAATTCCCTATTTTCAAAATATGTTTACTTGATTAATTTTCCAAATTTAGTGGTTGTCCAGTCTCCTTTTAAGAGTGGTCAGAAGAATCAAGCTGCCCTTTAACTCCAACTTCCTTCACTTCTCATCTTGAACCATCACTCCATATAGGCAGTGCTAATCTCTCTCTCCCTTCTCTGCATCCAACCTCAGCTATTCCAAGGGCTAGTACAACTTTGTGACAAATCTAAACTTTTAGAATGCAGAGGCAAAAAGATTTCCAGTAATTAATCTTTCTTTATCAGCTTCTCTCACGCTGGTTGTATTAGGTGTTTTCCAAAAGCCATGGACTTGACCATATCTGTAATAATCATAGCCAATCTCAAGAATTGGCTTGTTCACTTTCACTCATCATGGGTGGGAATTAAAATATTGCCAACATCTTTCGCAATAAAAAAAACAAAAAAAAGCATCTTTCTCTGTTTATGCATTTCTTGGTCAACCAGATCACACAGCTGGTTACCTATGGTCATTCCAGGCTAGTAATTAATTTTTCTTTATCAGTTTGTCTCCAAAAGAATCCAAAATAATGTTGGCCATAAAAATTTTGACAAATATTGCTGAAATTAAAATGAACAAACCTGTCCCCAATCTCAGGCACTAATCTTTATTTTTGTAGGGATATTTTTCTTCTGAGTGGCTGATTTAAACCAAATGTTTTTTCTGGCTATTGTCCAGAAAAATTTAGATGTTATTTTGGTGAACACCCATTTTCTTTATCAACAACATATATTTTTCTATTTTCCAGGACCGACATCTTCAATGATACATTGTCTTTTTGTTTTTTTGTTTCTTTGGTAGTCTTGGTTTTGCTCAATCTTACTGAATTTCATCTAGTTAAATTTGGGTTTGATTCTCCTTGAAAATGTTCATGATTTCATTTCACTATTTTGAAACAATTTTTTCAATGGATTTCATTTTTAATTTTCTTCTCAACTTTTCAATCCACTTTCCTGCAAATTTCAACAATTATTATCCAGTTAGTAGTCTCTTTTCTTTTCCTTTCTCTTTCTTCCAATTAACTCCCTGATGTTCCAGTGTCACACTGGCTTTGAAAGAATATGATAAAAACAATAAATATAAGGATCATCTTCTAGCTGCCATGTCCTTTCAGAACATGAGTGATCATGGCTCTCCACAAATTTATTTTATTAGATGAAGATACTCATCCAAATAATTCATGTGATAAATATTTTAAACTTCCAAACAATAAGAGCTAAAGTCATTTTTACCACAAAATTGTGTCCCAATTCCAGCAATATTTTCTTAATATTTTTGCAATATCATTTAAAAAATAAAGCAGCTAATCATTTCAAAATTCAAGAACAATACTTTAAATAGGTAGAGGTCATTACCATAAAATAAGTCCAAGAATCAATATTTGAATACAAAGATTCCTCTCTTGGTAAGTCTTAGAAAAATTTAATATCCATGCTGATTGTGTATTATGGACATTATGTATATAAGACTTAACAACATTTTCCTTAATTTTTCTCCTTCAAGACAAAGTGACTGGATATCTGCCCTGTATAAAGAAATAAGGAAAGACGACCCTAGTGATCCCCTTTTCAGCCTTCACAATGGGGCGAGGTAAGGTGTAGTGAGAGAAGAAAGACAAGAATATTATCTTGGCTTTGAAAGCAAAGAGAAAAGATTGACAAGTGTTTCTCATTTACACCAACAGAATGACCTACTTAAACCAGATAAGCACTTGTTTGGCTATAAAATTTCTAACATGAGACTTTAGCCGCAGAATAAAGATGTTGTCTCATATAAATTATCAGTTTTAGCAAATAAACAAAAATATTTTGATCAAAAACAAAAAAAAAACCAGCTTAAAGAAAGAAAACATCATCAAAATAATCATATACTATTTTACTTGGATCCACAGCATTTATAAGTGGGAAGGGGGCCTGGGTGGGGCATTCTTTGCTGGAAGGAGAACAAAACAGAAGATTGAATTTGTTTTCTTGACCTCAATCTATGACAATGCTATTACGCTGATCTGTATCATTTGTTTAAAATTATGACTGCTATACAGTTTACATATTTTTTGTTTTTTTAATCATTAGTTAAACCTTTTATATAGGTCTTTGATGCAAAAAATTCTATAGGTCACATCCCAGAAAATAAGTATAAACAAACAGCAAAAGAGTATTTAAAATTAAAACAAGAATGTTTGTGGTTAGATAAGAGATTAAAAAAAAAAATTTATGAGTGGGGATCAAATTAAAAAAATATAGACACAAAAATTTTTAAATTAGCATCTAACTTAGCCACCTCCCACTTTAAAATCTGATCTAGAAGCCCCCACCTTCAATTTTGTGGCGCTGTGCTAGACTCAATGAGGGCTTTCTTTTATTTTTTTTGATATTCTTATTTGTGATTTTTTTTATCTCTTCCATATTTAATTCTGTTAATTCCTCGGCCTTCTTCAAGTGGAAATTATTTTCTGGTGTTGTTGTTGTTGTTGTTGTAATGGTGCTAATCTCACCTGATATATTCTAAAGTTATTTAAAAATGTTGACAATTACAAAAGATGGACAATTGTCTTTGCAGCAAAAATAAACATAACAGCAGATGGTTGGAGAAAGAATTTAAGTAAAGTACAAATAAAAGTTGTTCAAAAAACATTGATTCAAAAATAACTTCCATGCAAATATCAATTAAACTTTGCTTACCTAAATGCAACAATACAGAAACAAATCAAAAATTGTTTTCTTACTTGATGGCTCATTAGAAGTAAGTAATCACTTTAGTGCTACAAATGAGATATCTTCTTTTAGCAAGTCTTCAGTTTAGTGCCACAGACATGTTTCCTCCCTGGGCCAACAATACAATTTGCGTTTTTACTTTGCTGATATTACATGTTTATACAACTTTGTGTCAGATGCGTAGATCCATACTTTCAGATATTTTATATTTGTTTAAATTATTAAAATCAATCAAACCTTGAGTACTGATTTATTTTTAAAAAGGTGTCTTGCAAAGCACAGACAAGTCCAATGTGTGAATTTGGCAGATATAATAAATATAAATAATGTTACTGTTTTTGAAACCCAGAATCAACATAATTGCTATTTACAAAGATTAGTTTAATCTGGTATGGATTCAAATAGGAAGATATGGTGAGATTATGTTCTATCATACTTTTAAATCAGAAATAGGCAACCTTTTCTGACTAGTGGACCACATTAGATATGGCTCATCATAAAACAGGTCACACTAATAAAAAAAATTAAAAGTAATTTTTCATTGAAAGTAAAGCATCCATTTTCACTACAGAAGATCATTTGTGTAAGCATCTGCCTTAGGAATGTCAGGAAAAGTTGATATATTTTACTTGGAAAAAATATTTTTTCAAAATTTTAAAATTGAAGATTTTGTATAATAATATCACAGATGACATTGTGATTAACACATGCTTTTGCTGGTAATTTGTTTCTAATTTATTCATTTAAAAATACAAAAAATATGTTTTTCAAATAAAAAATATATTTATTCTCCAGAGAAAAAAAAAATAATTTGAACATTTCTCATTTCTAAAGCAAAATATTTTTATGTGTCTGACCTTCCTTAATGAAAATCAGCAATGTCTAAAATACTGAAAACATTACTTTCAATAAAAGGTTCAAAAACTTCAATAAACATCGGACATAATCATTATTATGTAAGTGGTTTAATCAAACTGTACCTACAATGCAACAGCCACTAATAAGAGGACTTACTTGGGAATTTAATAGTTATTTCCATTTGACACTAGCTGATCTCAACATCTTTGTGTGCGAGAGAATGTGAGTGAACAAGTGAAAATAAAACAAAATGCAAAATTTTAACAAATGTTATTTTCATCATTAAATTAGGCATGTCATTCAAAAGGCCTAATGTGGCTCACAGACTGCAGTTTGTCCATGGCTGTTTTAAATGCTTGCATATTTAGAAAATTCAGTATTTGAAATTCTTTTACCCAAATATAATCCACACACAATAGCGAAAATGCTAATGGTTAACTTTTTCTTTTTACAAATAGTAAAAATTTATTAAGAGGTACAAAGAACAAGAAATAGTGGAGAGCCATGACTGCCAATGTCCTGGAAGGATATGACACATGGAATTTATTAAAATTTCAGTTATTAAACTTCAAGATCTGATCATTTATCTCTGATCTCTCTCTCTACATATATATATATATATATATATATATATATATATATATATATATATATATAAATATATATAACTTAAACATTATTTTTAGTGAATTTGAGTAGATGCTCTGTTTATTTATTAAATAGTATCTTCATTTTCATCAACCAGCCTGAATATTCAATAAATCTTATTGAAGAAAAATATATTTAACATAATTTAGACAAAGCCAAATAAGTTAAACTGAAGAAATGATAAATGATAACCACCCCTCAGAAAAAATAAGACACCCTCCCCTCAGAAAAAATAAACAAAAAATCTAAATGAAGAAATAAACAAATTCACAAACTACAAATGCCTACATAAACACAAGTAAATGTAATAATAATCAACACTAAATAATTAAGTAATCAATAATAAATTATAAGTAAAAAGTTAACACAATAAAATAGCTAATTACTCATTAGCCTCTAGAATAATTTGAAACACAATTATTACCACTTGCCCAATAACTGTTAGGACAATACAATAGACCTTACTATCCATAACGCACCATGGACCAGAATATATAAATAGTTGAGCCAAAACACAACACCTGGGCTGAAGATTGCATTCAAGCATGAAACAAATTGTTGTCACTTGGTGTTGACCTCAGTGTCCACTTGTGTGTGCATGTGTGTGTATATATATATATATATATATATATATATATATATATATACTGAAACAGGCACAGTAGTTAACATTATTATTTTTTAGAAGCAGTTAAATGATTAAAATTTTAATTATTGAACCCTAAGGCCTGATCACTAGCCAATACACCATCAAGGAACATTTTGGGTAAATTTCATGGTTCTTCTGTAGCAAAATCAATCAACATTGAAGAGTAGTATATAGCCAATATAAAGTTTCTCATATGAACAGTGTTTTTCAACTTACAATGACATTTTTTTTTTTATTTACACAATATTTTTCTTTAAAGAGCATTGGCAGTTTTAATCCCTTGTTCAGTGAGATATCCAACTTTTTATACTCCATGTTATAATTCCTTAAAACCCTTGCTGAATTAATAATTATTTGTCATTAATTCCATAACAAAAATATTTTTATCCATTCAACAAGTGTTTAGGGTATTATGTATAGACTCAGATACAACACATTCCAAATTGAATGAAACAAAAAAAAATCATAACTGAACATCAATTTTTTTCTTCCTTTAGGATGTGCAAATAAATCTAATGGATATAAGCAAGGAAAGTGGGATTGGCAAAGCCAAGTTCAAACCCTGGTCTCATCTGTTGTGCTCACTTTCACACTAATGTTTTAGAAAACACATGAATCTGCCTCTTCTGTCTCATTATGAGTTAAGAGGCAAGACAGCATGAGCTCTCTATCCTTGGTTTCCAATCAGTTTAAAAGAATGAAAACTAAATTGAAGAAAGCAAAAGAAAACTACTCCACAATCTTTCCTAAGCATGCATGGCAATTCACAGATAATCAATAAATGGAATATATGGAGAGCCATGATTTTGAATGGAGATGACATTAATAAAAATATTATTCATTTAGGATTGAAAATAAGAAATGCAAAATAAAATAAAGGAATTTTGAGTAACAAAAAGACAGACAAAAGTGGGCATAGAAAAGAAGGAACTATACTTACCATTTAAATTTGGCGCTGCCATGCTCCCAAGAAATAATATTCCAAAGAAAATGAAAGACACACCAAAATAACTAGCCATCTTAAATTCTTGCTAATTCAGCTTCAGATAAAAAAAAAAAAGTGTTGTCAAGAGACAAGTTTGAAAATCAATTTTTTAATTTAGTTTTTTTTTTGTTGTTTATAATAAAACGGACAATGTTCATGTGATTAACATCCTTCTTTTAAAAATCTTCAATTCCGTTTGACAATATTGCTATGCCATTTTCCATATGTTTCTGTTTAACTGATTTTTACAGAGTAAAGAAAGATTCCTTGTGGTTCTCTGGCTGACTGCACTGTGATCTGACATGAGACCTGAATTTACGTTTGGTTATTCTTATAATCATTCATCATAACAGCAGCAATGGCAAGGGAGTATTGGTTTACTTCCTTCCACTTGGGAAGTTCACTTCCACACACATACACGTCAGTTTGAGTTGGTTTCTTTTTCATCAGTTCATTCTTGAATTATTTCCTTCCTTTTCCCACTTCTTGAAATCTGTTTTCTTTGGAGGCAGAGCCACATGTCAAAGGATTTATGAGATTTTTGTTACATTGCATCTTTTTGATCAACTGTAGGTCTCACCTCGAGTTTCTGAAGTTTGTTAGAAAAAAAAAAAGAAAAGAAAAAGAAATCATTGCAAATTCATTCAAAAAAATAAGTGTTTACTTAATTTACTCAAAACCACAATAGTGTTACATCCAGTGACACTTGAACTGACTCCACTAATGAACACCCTTCTGTTTAACATCACTTATCTGGGTTTTTCTTTTCTAAAAAAAGAATTGGATTTTTCTAAAAGCCACTCATTCTTAAACAATTAGTAGAGTTAGAATTCATAAACTGGGCTGAGGTTAATCTGGCACAAGGCCACATTAGTTGAGTACTCAGTAAGAAACATCACTAACAGTATGTATGATAAGACTGATTACCATCACTGTTGTAGGCAAACATTTATATTCACTGAACTTCAGTCTTAGCACCTAGTGAGGATTGAATTCACTTCTCAAGAAAGTTTCTGACATTAGTTCATTAACCAATGCTTTTATGACAAGCACTCTCAACATAAATAAAACAGCAGTAGTAACATTCGGAAAATGAAAATTCAGTCATAATGGCAGAGTTAAATCTATCAAATTCTTTTAATATTTCAGCCCTCCAAATTCTAATGTCAAAACCTTTTGGTAGTTTAACTGAATAGTGTGTTTTGTACCAAATTTCACATGGCATTCATTTGGGATGAAGGTCAGGATTTGTAAGTGAGACAGAAATTAAAAAAAAAACTTTGAGGTTTCTTCCCCCAAGTGTACCATAAAACTGACCTTGGGTGAATACTCATCTAATTGGTCAAATAGTTGTCTAACCAATCCAGGAAATCAATATTTCCTTGGAATTTCAGACAATAGTGATTAGAAACGATTTTTTAGGATATTTCCATTATAAAAGACCAAAACTTCCATCTTCATAGATAACCTGTATTTTTTTTTTCTATTCTTGAAATTTATAAGATGAATTATCCTCTTTCAGATGAGTATCCGTCTGTCTTTATTCATATTTTGACCAATATCCTTTCCAACTATCTTTAAGTTTATATTGCATCTAAGAAATATCAGGGGATTTTGATCAAAATCTTATTTCATAAAGGGAAGGAAAATGTATAACTTTTCAGTCACTGCTTTTTTTTTTCTACAGGTTAAGAACCTGGCAAATAAATTGTTGGCTCTTGATGCTAAGTTCAATTCCCAGTCTTGGGACTTCAGGTTCTGAGAGGAAATGGCATCAGAAGAACAAATTGGTAGAAAGAATTTGCTATGAATTAAAATCTCTCAAAAGCAAGCTGGATCAATGAAATAATGAGTGTAATCAAAATTCTCTGAAAATCAGCAGATGTAAGAAACACTGGAAGAAGACTGAAGAATTCACTGGCTAAAATGTAATAAAAAAAACAACAAAAATGAGGATGCTAGTTCAAAAAGAATCATTAAATCAGGTAAATAACTGAATTAGTTTTATTTGTTTATGCAACATTCATTGTACACCATTTACATTGTTCGGACTATCACCCTCATCTTTGTTGCCATACCGTTTCAGCCGTTGTATGCTCCGGCCTTCTTCAGGTGGTTGGAATGTCAAACTTAACCCTTTATTTCATTCACTGGTGTAGACTGTTCTAGTTCCATGTCTAATGGATGTCAGTTATAAGTTATCTCCTGTTAATTCCCCTCTCCAAGTTCTCCACCACTTTAACCAGGTATTGAATTCACACTCTCTGGATCCTGTGTATGAATTTCTGGGTATTATAAAACTAATGTCTTCAGCAACTATTTTTTTCCAATGTCTTTTTTTCTGATTCTAATGTCATTTCCTCAAAGTATTCCATGTATATATTTGCCATTGCTGGTGATAATGATGAGCCCATTGCTAAGCCCTCATCCTGTCGATATATGTATGATCCTATTCCAAAGTGTGTTGTTTGTGTACAGAAAGTCAACATCTCCATCAGATTATCTATTGGAATACTATTGAAATAAAGGGTTCAGTTCGACATTCCAATCACCTGAAGAAGGCCGGCTGAAATGTTGTGATAAATATGGCAACAAAGATAAGGATGATAGTCCAAACAATGTAAATAGTGTACATAATACCTCATCTCAGAAACAGACATTTGTTTTGTTTAAAACAAATATTCATCATCAGAGTAGCTATTAAATATCAACAGAATCAATTCTGAGACTTTGAGCAACAATATCACTAACCCAGCTTCTCTTCACTGACTCAGGTTGCCTTTACCAATTTAGCCACATAATGTACTCACATCCTGAATATCATATTTCATAGCTTAGATGTACCCCAATTTTTTTTATTTTTTTTACTGATCCTTTAAACAATTGTTAACCATATACATCATCTTAATTGAAAACAATTTCACTCTCTGAAGATAACAAAAATTGCTAAAAGTATTTGGGAAAATAATATTTGGAAATACATCTATAATCTTCAAATAATATCAAAGAGACAAAAAATTTATCTTGAACTGCAAGGAAATACAGTTGGAAGAAAAGGAAAATTAGATAAAAAAAAAAATTCCTGAAAGGAAATGTTCCTGTGAATTCCAGTCAAATATTTTTAAAAAATACTGCCAAAAATGCACACTAGATTTTAATGCAAAGTAAAATGTATACTTTGTTTTTTAGCCATGATGAGTTGTTTCATAAAGAGAGTTAAATAAATTAGTTGGTATATAAAGAAATAGAATTGTAGGCAACAAAACCAAATGTTTCCAATGGCTTAGTGACTAAGATAGCTGTGACCTTTCTGGCAATGGTGATTTTCTAAGCATTGTTTAAATGTAGTTTTATTTTACTAAGCACAAGGCTGAAAGTATGGGGCACCCAGTAAGGAGTGAACACACTATTCAAGGGTAATTGATTGAGCGAAACAAGATGGCTAACCATTACAACAAATAATTTTCTGAGCATAGTTTAGATGTCACACAAGGTCGAAAGCATGGAACACCCAGTGAGGAGCGAACACACTACTCAGTCATAACTGATCGAGCAAAACAAGCTTACACCATGTTGAAGTGCCCAAAATATCTATACTTTGATGTTATACTTGATAAGTTTCCATAATTATTCAGTGGTAGATAAAAATGTTATCTGTTAAGTTTAATATTCTGAAAATATTGGAGATAAACAAGAAAATGCAGAGTGACAATGTTTTTGATTATCAGTTCAAAATTGCAAAATTCTTGTCAAATTTTTAGACAAGAATCTAATTGCCAAAATCAGGCGCTTGAAGTGGTGGACCTACATTTTTATGAGTGCCCCCCTTTGCAACCAACAACAATAGATTTAGGGATCCAACTGCCAAAATGTAGGCAGCTCAACAGGTTCATACAGCTTAAGGTTTGGGTACTGTAAGCCAACCAAAAAAATTTTTAGAATTTGACAGGGGAATTTTGAGACCATATGAAATGAGTATTAGAGCATATTCTAAGGCCAACATTAGCTACTTCAGCCCATTTACTTAAAATTATATCACTAAGATGGCTTTATTTTAATAAGACTTAAAAACCAAAAAAAAACAAAACCAAAAAAAAACACAACCAAAAAAAACAAAAAAAACAAAAAAAAACAAAAACAAAAAACAAAAAAAAAACAAAAAAAAACAAAAAAAAAACAAAAACAAAAACACACACACACCAATTTTGTTGAAAAATTCACCCATTAAAAAGAAAAAAAAGAAGTTGCTTCAGGGGCCTTGAAGCTTAAGCTTCATTAGATCCAGCACCGGGTGTTTGTAATTGTAGTGCATTTCCCACCAGAACCATTGATTGGTATTCAAACTCTGGTAAAAATAGAATTTTCAATGCTGATTTTCAGGGCAAGCAGGCTTAAAGAATTGGTGCAACAGAATCTTTCTCTTGTGTGGCTTTCTGGAAGATGATGCTAAATTTGGTAAGTATCTTATATCAATTTGTTAAAAAAAAAAAAAAAATGGTTAGGACATTTTTTTAAGATTCAGGAGCTCAGAAGACACAATTTAAAGAATATATATATTTTTTTTTTAAAATAATAATTTAGGAACCACTTAATTCCCTCTTTCTAATTTGCAAAAATACACCATGAAATTTCCATAAATTTATGGAATAGTAACAACTTGTAGGACAAGATCAACCATTATAATCTGTTCAAAGTGATTTTGAAATAAATTTGAATTAGTAATTTATTTCCAAAATGATTCTACTTAAAAACTTTAAGGCTGATGATGAAAATAATTTTGTACAGGCATTGTAATCTTTTAAAATGTAATCTTTTTTTTTTCTCTTAATTAGCAAGAAACCAGAGTTAAGATGACCCAAAACGATTCAACAGGATCAAATATCATGCTGGGTGGAGTGTTGCCTTACCCAGGTCAAAGTCAAGTGGCACTGGCCAAATTAACAACTCATAAAAAAATCCAACCAGTAAATAACATTATGTAATCTTAATATAAAAAAAGAAACTTTAAAAAACTGAAACGTCATTGCTTCGTCA